GATCCTTTAAACTTTCTGAATTAATGGATCAGTCGCATCAGTGACATGTTTCTGCATTTGATTTTCAGCTGAAAAAACAACCACCATTGCCACGACAACCACCACCGTAGCAGGTAATTAATCCCGGGATGAATTGGGATCTTTTTTCTCTTCTCTCCATCGTCTGCGTTTTATTTCATCCTTCATCAACTCTGTCATCCTAAGACTTTCATTTATCACTTGACTTCTTTTCCACCAACGTGTTGCTGAGGTTTAATGTAGAAACAGTTCACTGGTACTGGTGCCACTGGCTACTGGTGAAAATGGGAAACACTGCCTGGTTGTTGGCTGAGACTGGTTAACGAAACGCACTGAGGCAGCGTTTGTGGTCCTGTGCTGATGAAGAACATGGGTAATAGATGCCTTTGAACTGTTGGTGTGTTTTTATCAGCTCTAACTTGCATGAAACGAGGGATCTTCATCAATCAGCAGCCCTGTAAGTGCATGTGGAACTGCAGACTAACGAGTGCTCATGGGAATTCTTTAGGCAACAGAAATCTTCCAGGATCTGTCGAATAATGACTCGGAATTTCAAACTCTGGCAGTTTTCATTTCTCCACACAGTACGTGTGCCTGAAGATCAATGTTGTTTTTTTACTGTAGTAACCAATTAGCTTTTAAATGTGAAACACATATTTTTCATGAATTTGAAATTTTCCAGACTAAATAAGAAAAACTGTTACCTATGGGTGCAGTTTGGATCCAGTGCAGTTACTCAGTATCGATTATTTAGTCAGATTGACAGAGTAAAGCTGAAGTAAATGTCTGGTTCTTTCTAGCCTGGCACAGGACAGAGACACGTAAATGCAAACCAGCCGAAGTCGTCTCAGTTTGGATTTCGGGAAGCAAGAAATCTCGACAGGATGGAGAGCAGTTATTGTCTTTTAGAAATCAGAGAAATAAAGAAAAAAGATAAAGATCATAATATTAGGACTCATGTGAGAACACTGTTTGTGGTTTTGTGTTGAAATGGCAGCACTGGGAAAAAAGTTTCCAAAAATTCGAGCGTGTAAGTGACGCTATAAATGCTGATGTTATAAGATCAAAATTCTGAAACGGTAAATCAGATAAGAAGTTTGCTCCTCCTGTTTCACTGATAGCGTCTGTAAACCTGTTCCTATATTATCAGAGGGAGGGTGCGTTGTTCCGATATGTTCTCCGAAGGAACGTTTCGATATTCCGAAGACACTGATGTGATATGAAAATCTGAGCAAATTAAATGCCAGAATGATGACATTTTGATACCATCGCTTTCTGTGATAGGCTGTGACAGCTTCATGCTTCACTGAGTTCATCTTTGAGTCACTGATCTGCAGCCAGAGTTTCTCTGTCCAACCCTTCAGCTCCTCGGTACGGGGTGAGAAGCATGAAGATCGATGAAGAAACTACGTTCAGCATGCGGGTGTCCTGGCAGCCCGTCGACCTCAGAAATGCTCGACATTATCGACTGAGCTACATCAGTGCGAGGGGAGACCGAGCAGCAGAGACGGTAAGACAGAGAGAGACACTTCATTTCATAATAATTACCTCCAGGTCTGATGCTCATTTGAACGGTCTTCAGCAATGCCTGCTTTTCATTCCCAGCATCAACACTCAGCAACACTATCTTAGCCTATAGGAGCTGCACATTAATAAAGTCAACAAACAATCAGCCCCAGCACACAAACACCACCTAAAAACAACAGGAAACTGACAGCGATGTGTTTTCCATGCTGATAGAGCCTTCCCCTCTCATTTAAAATAAATGGAAATCCCTTGTGGCAGCCATCACGACCACATCACCAATTTGCAGAAGTTTAATTTGCAGAACATTTCCAGCCGTAATCTTTACTAAGTCACGTTTGTGTGATTTCTTTGAATACTCTTCAAATTTTATGCTCTGAAAGTCAAACTCCTACAAATTCATACAATGGAACAGACAAAAGAGCATCAGTCTTCAACAGGAGGAGGGTGGGAGATTATTGATGAAGACAATGGCAGGCCCTCAGATTAGAAGTCCTCCTTGGAGAGAAAGTCAGTGTTACTGAAGTTGATGGCAGGCCTTCAGAGTCTAGTTAAGGGGCAGAGACGAGAGCAGGAAGAGGATAATGATGATGAAAACAGTGGCAGGACCTTCAAAGAGTTTTTCTTTTTTTCAGTGAGGTAGAGAGAGCCTGGCAGCTTCTGCAGTAATGAGCCGAGAGAGAAGGCTTTTATAGAAAACAACACTCGTGCAAAAATATGCCACAGGCGTGCGTGACAATACATCAATAATGGGGTACAATCGTGGCCCCGCGTGCCAGAAATGTCCAAAGGGAGCCAAATATTATTTTTAATAACGAAATATGACATGAAAGTTCACTCACAGGTTCTGGCTCTGGGTCTCTACCTTAACCCCGGAAACTGTGACTTTTATTGCCAGAACTTGCTTTCATGCCTACAGAGTGACTCATGCAACCCGTCAGGATGTTGGACCAACACGGAGCACAGGCTCAAAATCCCAGCTTGGTTTTTGTCCAGTTCCACTTAAATGGCAATTTAATCAAAGGGGGAAAAGGGCATTGATGCTTTCTGCAGTCCTGCCACACAGGAAGGACGCAAAAAAAGAAAAACCTCTCGACACTGTGATTTTACCAACAACACGTGCATGTGGGAAACCTGAATGTGGAATATTCCAGGCAAACGTGTTAGCGACGCCTGGAATCTGGGTGTGTGGGGAGGGGTGTGCTTTAAAAGATAGTTGTCCTCAGTAATCAGGGTCAAACTTCACGGTTCCTGCTCAACTAAGACGTCTGTCTGGTTCTCAGTGATGAGGAGAGTTTTGACTAAAAGTCCCCGTTAGAAGGCAGACATGTCATGTTTACAGTGTGGTTAGTTTTCATGATAAAAGCTGCTTCGAATCCTAATTAAAGACAAACTCCCAGATTTCCTGTCTTTAAACTCTGCTCACACACACACACACCTTTACATGCATCACAAAGACTTTTTTCTTTTTCATGCTCTCATTGTTTTCTTTCACATTTGTGCAAATCACATTTATTCTGTAATAATTGTCTCTTTGGTGTTAATAAATGTAGAGCATGGCTTCCAAGCTTCTTTGTAATCCTAAGTGGTCGGGTGTTCCCTTTGCCAGGTTAACGCGTGTCAAATATCTCCAGAACCGTCTCATCTTCCTGTGACTTTTGACTTCACTGGTGTGTGTTGTTGTGTGCCGGTTGTGCTGCCACCGCACCAGAGGCCCACTCTGGACACAGGTCCCGCTTCAGCCTTTTCATCCTGACAATAAAGAGCCACCAGCTGCTCGCACCGGCGGCTTGTTAAATGAGATCTCTTATCAAAGCACAAACAGCTGTGGCCTCTGTTTGGCAATCCGGTCAGGTTATGAATCACCAAGTGCTGCGCTCAATAGCTACTATTTAGATGTCTATCTGCTGTGGGGGGAGAAAAAAACACCTGCTTTGTTCAAAGTTTCACTCTGTGGTTCTCGGCTGCCAAAGCAGGGCAACGCGCCACCGAAGGAGCGCGTCTCATTTACACGTTATTGATATGTGGCTCATCCCACTTCATCTTCACTGGTGGAATCTTGTCCTAAAGAGCTAACGTGTAGTCAGCATGTTAGATCTGCAGCTGCAACAAATCATATTATATGTAATTAAATTGTGGCTATTAGTCACAAAGTGGTTTTCTAACACGATTACAGAACGCTCTGCATCACAGGAACACGCAGCAAAGAAAAGCCAGAAATCAGACTTCCTTGGCCTTTTTGCAACTTTTGAATTATTTATATTATTTAATTATCGAGTGGTTATGTCTTAGTTTTTGTCCTGTTCTTCTCTGGATGATAGAAATATCTGCATTTCCATTGTTATCGTCAAATTTTGACCTCCTGGGCAGAAGCATGAAGCCAGCACAGAGGTATTAAGAAGCCAGCTGTCCTTCAGACGGACTCCACAAGTCAGTCTGTCCCCAGTGCCTCCCACATCAAAATGCCCAATTTCCTGACACGGGGAACTGTAGGCAATCAGAGCTCGCCTCCTCTGACTGAAGCCACTGAGTCTGTTGGTGCCTTATGAAGCTTTTTTCATCTGACAAACACTGTGTGGCCTGCTGTCAGATACAGACATCAGGGAGTGAAATGCTAGCGTGTTATTAGTCTGTTACTTAGCTGTAATTAACAGGTATGATTGTGTTTGTGGTGCACCTGTGCAGTCTGACGGGAACATTTCCAATCCGTACTTTTTGGGTTACAACCTCTAACCTGGTCTGGTTCTTTCTTGCTAGACTTGTACTAGAAAATTAATGCACGAATAAATGAAACATTTCTCAGTGCTTAGGTCTCTACAAGCTTATAAATCTAGAAGTTAATGGTTCGGTTCATTCAGATGGCTGTGTCACTGCCGTACCAGATGATGGTGTCTACACCGTAGCCATGGCGTGACTCAACTCTGAAGCCATCTGTCCACAGGCAGCTGTGATGCTCAACTCATTGAAGCTCCATTATTTCCCTGTGCCGCTTCATTCAGCGTCCAATAAACCAAAGCTGCCGGGCATCAAGAGCAATTCCACCGTGTGCAGGGTTCTGGCTCTCGCTGCTCGGGAGCAGATTCTTGTTCCAGGAGGTTAAAAACTGGGGATTAAAAAGTTTAAGGGATCTTTTTCTTAAAAAACTGTAACTGTCTGTGTGTGACACTCACAGCTATTAGAAAATAATCAATAAATACAGTGTTTTGCACTAAAGCTTTAATTTCTGATCTTTGAGCCATGTCTCAATTGCCGGTTTTAGCTAATGGAAGCCATTTAGGTTTAAACACCATAAGTGTGGTTTCATGAGGGAGAAATCCAAACCCATTTCTTTTTAACTGTGATCTTTGGCATCATTCAGCAGAAATGTCTGTCCCCTAACTGCTCATTTAGTGTGTCTGATCCACTTCCAGTTCTCTATTTATTTGTTTTTTGTTAATGTTAGGTCTGTTTCTGATATTTAACAATAAGTGTTTTTATATATTTTTTTTTATATATATATATATATATATATATATATATATATATATATATATGTTCTATATATATTCTCCAAAGTCACAAATCCTCCAGGATTTGTGCGTCCAGCAGCTACCAGCTGTCAAAAATGTCCTGTAATAAACTGAAGGCTTATGACTTGACCTGAGCTTAAAGTCCTCATCTAAGATTAAAGGTGTTTCTTCTTTAACATCGTCAGTGATGTCGACCACTACTGCAAAGCTAGGCATGTTAACACCAGAGTTTATGAGCATTTCTCCCCAAGTGGCCACTACAGGAACTGCAGGTATGGATAGTTTTTTTTCTCAGCTTCAGTTTTCAGCCCCCGGAGGTTCCCGCTTGGTTGGCAACATAAGGGATGCGTCCCCACTTGGATCTAGGGCTTGGCATTATTTGGATTTATCATAAAAATGATTTAAACAAGACTACTGACAGTTCAACATTATTCATTAGTTTTGTCACACTGACTGGCTGTGGTGTGTTTATGTATTTATTAGGGGTGCAACACGTTCGATACAGTGCTTTCGGATATACGCATATGTATCGAACAATACAAAATTTTTTATTTATTTTATCAACTTTTCTTCTGACGATGCTGTCTGTGTTGAGCGCTCGTTGCAACATGGCAACTGCCTCAACGCTACCCGAAATTGAACCTCCCCCACCCTCATTCAGATCTGGCCTTTGGAACTATTTTGGTTCTTCATGTGACGTATGACCCTGAAGGTAAGCGCGTCATGGACAAAAGTAAAACAGTATGTTGGATGTGCCACGCAATGCTCAATTGGTGGGAACTAGTGCGTTAGCGCAGTTAGCTTGTTAACGTGTTGATGCCGTCCAGCCCCACGCACGGGGCGATCCGCGGTAACTCGTTAACGGAGTTTGCTGCGTTATGGCGTTAATGTCATTTTAACGAGATTAACGCTGACAGCACTAGTGGGAACACAACGAATATGACTGCACATTTACTCCGACATCATCCTAGTGCAAAGACAAGTGGAAGCAGACAAAAACAACAAGCAGCATGCTACAAACTTTACCCGAGTCATTTAGACAGCCGTTAGCACAGGATTCTCCTTATGGGGACCTGATATGTTTAATATGCTGCTGAGAATATAGCCCAGAAGAAGCGTATAGTAGAGCTTTTATTTTGAAAGAGCCATTTCTCTGTAATAAACTCTCTTTTCCAAAGATGAGTGATTTCTCATCAGATATATTTATTTTTATTACTTTGTTGTTTCAGCAACATTAAATTTAAAAACTGTACTTTTGAGTTAAAATATATATTTATAATTTTAATAAATGACAAATTAAAAAAGCATGAACATTTTTTTGTATCGAAAAAATATCGAACCGTGACACCAAAGTATCGAACCGAACCGTGAATTTTGTGTATCGTTGCACCCCTAGTATTTATGTATTTATATTTCGGTTTTAGGTCAATAATTGTTCTGTAATCTCAATATTGACCAAAATATTCTTCGTAGTAGTCTTTCTGATTTTTTTTGTTGGTTCCTGTTGTTCTGGTCTGAAGTCTTGTTTCTGCTTTGGCGTTTTGTCTGTACAGCTCTTCTTGTGTCATCGCACTCTGACTCTGTCAGCTGTGTGTTTGACTGTCTACCCTGCAGTTTACCTTTAAGCCTCGTTGTTCCAGCGAAGGTGGATCAAACTTAATATTCCAGACCTGCGTGGAGCCTCTGTCAAAACAAGATTGTGTTTCTGGATCACATAAATACTTTATGAGACCGCGTTTGCATTTACAAAGAGGTTGGAGTAAAAAAGGGAGTGCAGCTGGAGGTGGTTTATTCCAACTGTGTGACAGTGTGACAGTTTAGAGACTTGCTGCCTTTTTCATCAGGCTGGGCTGAAATTGATTTGTTAAGGCCCACAGTGCTGCTCTGACTGACACGTATAAGAATTTCTTTCTGTTTTTTTAGAAAGTGGAAGTTTTGCGAATGGAGTCGGGCCAGACTCTACATGCTCAGAATGCAAACTGGCCCAGCAGACAGACAGCAGAGAGAGCTCAACCTTTAAAGATTTCTCCTACGCACAATACAACAATAGCTCTGGTTACCTGGAGCGAGATGAGCTCTGTGTTCAATCATATGTAAAATACAAACATTTCCCTTCACAGAGCCACTTAGAGCATTCGCAGCATGCTTTATGCAGATCAAATAACAGACGAGTGTTTCTAAACTGTATCATAAGGCTCGGCTGTTATAATATGTTCAGTTTACTGAGAGAAGATTTGGCTTCTTTCTAACCAATAGAATGTGAGAGCCACTTGAATTTGTCAAGATTTTCTTTTATTATGTTGCCACAACCAGACGACGCCATCCTTTTCAGTTTGCTCCAATTGGATTTTGTTGGAAATTACTGTCATCATACATAAAATATATATATGTGTATCATAGAGTTTAATAACAGAAGGGGGAAGAGTGTGGAAGAGAAGGTGATACTTTAAGATGAGCGGAGCGGAAATGAGCCAGAGGTTTTGGAGAATAAAAACAAAGAGAGCTCCACTGGGTTTCGGATTCAAAGAACAAAAACAAAAATAAATAATATAAGTCACCATATAAGTATAATTTATGAACAGCAGATGTGGTGAGACAAACAACAGCAGAGAAATCGAGAGAAGCAGAGATGAAGAGAGAGGAAAGATGTCCACGGGGTAAAGAAGGAGATTGGATTGTCTTCAGTGTGAGATCATCAGTTTTAATAAAAGACTCAGCTCGCCCACAGGTGAGGAGGACACCTGGACACAATTAACCTCTGCAGCACTTTGAAACCTCGCAGTCCACTGCAGCCACTCTCCCTCCTTCACCTCTATTAAAAAGGCTAATGCTATTTTTTTGCTAGCTCGTGCTTTAGAAATCTTAATTCTCTTTGTTAACTCATTTTTAAATCCGCCCTTGTTAGACTCTAAATCCATGGCTCAGAGGAAGCCAACACATGAGACAGGAGTTCAAAGAATGGAAAATAAAAAATGATAATAAAATATTAACAATAAAAAATACACAAAGCACAAAAAAGGGAGACGGGAGTCAGAGAGACCAACAAACCCAGCGGTGAGCTGTTGGACTGAAGATCAAGCGAAAAAGAAACAAAAACTGGTTTGATTTTAATTTAAAAAACACATGAATTTGATTTAATTTTAAACACATATGACCTGCTAATGTAAACACAGTAAAGTTATAATGAAATTAGTCAATTACAGTTAAAAAGTCTCCCATGGAAACTTGTTCCTGTCACAAAACCTGCAACATTATCATTTGACCTTCAGATCAGACTTTGAAGGAGAGGTCAGAGGTCAAATGTGACATGATCATTTAAATCTATATGGTACTTCCTAAATGTTGACAATAAACACAACATGTTATGTCAGTTTTCGACCAATAAATCTTCAGGTTGACCTTGATGACCTCAGTGGACGAAGCTGTGATGAATTGTTAACGCGGCTCCTCGGCGTCCCTGCAGCGTTTTATCATAATTCATTCAAAAGTTTTCAGAGTGCGTTTAAAGACTGAATGCAGATACAGAAATGCTACCAAAAACATCAACAAACAGAGGGAAGAATGCAGAATGCTTGAAGACGTTCTCAGTCGCAGTCTGTCACCTCGGTCATGCTGTGAAGGAAGAGGGAGGGTAATGAGAATGATCAAAGAAACAATCATTTAGACGCAAACGTATCTCTGCATGTGGACACAAATTATAACCAAATCACTGAAGACATGCACAAGTCTTTTTGGGTTTGCAGAAACATCATTTTCCTATTTTTTTTTTTTTAAAGCAAACTCGAGGTCCTGTTAAATCGAGAAACCTCAGCAGTCACGTTATCCTGCTGTTACATCTACATGAAGTGATCCTGCAGTGAGCGTATGTGGTGCAACATGATTAAGAAGCAGCTACAAAAGTCCACACGTTTAATATTACAAAGCAAAACTGGACGATGAGCTGTGGAAACTATGGAGATTAGAAACAAGGAAACGGCAGAGTGCAGTTTCTCTGTTTGACTGGCAGCTGAACTTTGGGAGGTGAAATGTCACATCAGTGCAGAGAGACTGAGGATGGGGAAATGTCTAAATGTTAAAGTCAAACATTAACAGCTTTGCTTGTCTTTCAAAACTGTCCTGACTCTGGTCTTTCTGTGCTTACAGAGAACAGTGCCCACTGGTCAGAACAGCCTGGTTCTGCAGCCTCTGCTGTCAGACACAGAGTACAAAGTCTCCATCACTCCTGTCTACCCCGAGGGAGACGGACCGGCAGCGGCCGCGACGGGACGGACGCGTGAGTCATATTGATGCTGAGTTCGCTTGACTTTTGTTTCTTTCACTTTCTTTTCTTCACTCTCTGCTCTTTTTAAGTCGTCTGCAGTATCGTGTTTTATCATTAACCTGTGATCAGGACCTCAGAGCAGAGCTGGAGTTCCACTTGACACCAACTTATCTGCTGTCTAACACAAGCATACAAATTAGACCAGGAAACAGCGATACAAGAAGAAAGACATCTCTGCATCTCTACGCTGTTTACAGGATGGATGGTTTGGTTTACAGGAAGTCCTGCTCTAACGTTTGAGTCTGGAGAACAAATCCCAGCACATGCTCCTCCCCTCAGCCTGGCTCTGATCAGGTTTCTTCCTTCCCACTGTCACCAAGTGCTTGTTCATAGGGAATTGTTTGATTGTTGGGGTTTTCTCTGCACTGTTGTGGGGTCTTTGCTGCACAATATGAAGCACCGTGTGGTGACTGCTGTTGTGATTTGTTGATAGATGAGCTTATTTAAGACTACTAGATTTGGTTGTTATCATCACTGTCAGTTTGAGACACAACTTTTGAAGGACAGCAGCAAGTGGTCAGACGTGAAGAATAACCACACTGGAAAACAAATATGTAACCTAGAAGGGACAGAACATTGTGGAACCTCTTAATATCATTTAGCTCTTTGAGTGTTCAGTCAAAAAGAGCTGTATCATCATTATTGTTGTTATTATTATTAGAACCGGTCCATTTACCATTTTATTCTTTCTTTTTTATGCTTATTTATTCATTCAGCAAGTTATTTGTATCATATCTGATCTTCTAAGCCAGTTGTACTCACATTTGTTCAGCTTCTTGTGTCTAAAAATACTGGCATAGTGTAGAAAAAGAAGAAACACATGGAGGAGAAACTTCATGTTGTCCTCCCAGCTGAGTGTAGGAGTGGTATGTTATAGTTGGACAAATAACCCCGGCTGGGGTTTGAAAGTAGAGCTGAGAAGCTGCTGTGGATCAGAGTGCCACACTTGTGACCCTCCGACACTCTCTGGCATCTTTGCGCTCTGATCTCCGGCACAGTCCTGCTGCTGTAGACAGACTGAAGTATTATTGGATTTGTGCCGGGAAAATCTTGTCATGACAGAGCAGACAGGAAGAAGGATGAAAGTGAACAAAGGCAAGAACGGGATGAAGAAAGGTGAAGGTGCTTGTTTTTCACGATGATCTTTCCCTGCTGATCTGATAGAGGTTGATTTCTACATTCAGTGGCAGTTTTCAGGATTCCTCTTTCACCCTCTGTTTATTTATCGTTATTATTCCTTTTTGTCCTCTTTGAAAAGTGGAAACATCTCAAGCGAAAACAAACAGAGAAATGCCCTCAAAATCTGTGGATGTTATGTTGTGAGTATGACAGTGGCAGGATATGCTTCGAATATTAAATGATTAAATATGTGAAGCTAAAGTGAATCCAGAGTAAAGGCAACAAAGCACGTGTTCGACTAGCCTGTGTCCTCCTGACTTTAAAGTTTCTTTGCCACCACAGATTAAAAAGATGAGCTCTGCAGAAGACCGTCTGTCCTCACTGTGCCATCACGTTTTGTTGCTGTTTTAGGACCTGGTTTCATTTTTAGTTTCTCTTTCTTTTGGTTGGTCATGTTTACATTTATCATGGTTTGGATAAAGATACATCATTTGAAGAATAGTCAGTAGTTGGGGTACGATGCCGTCTTTGGTGATGTATGAACAGCTCTCAGGATTATGTTGCTTCCTTCAAGTCGTGCTGTTGCTGCTCCTGGTGGCTCCTGGATCTCCAGTGTGGTGAATGTTGACCTCGTGCTCCAGTCTCCGTTTAGCTTGGTCCCGACTCTCCAGTTTAATAACACAGAAGGCTTTTCACTGCGGGCCAGCAAAGCTGTTGCACACCTCAACAATGGCCAGGCTTTAAAAAATAAACGGCTCAGTGGTATAAATCACACAGAAAACAAAGAAGGACAGAAAATGTGTTGTCCTGTACATCTGCTGTCCATCTCAGCATGTTATAATATTACACTAAGTTTCAGTATATAATGATTTAATTATGCCAACAGATAACTCATTGAAGAAAGCCATATGTATTCATAAAATCATAAATATACCTCTCTTTTAACAAAGAATCAGTTCAGCATGATTCAAACCAAGTATGTGAAGCAAAGTTTGGATCTGAAAGGCCAAAAAGATTCTGGGAGATAGAAAATCCTCCAATCCTGGAGGTGTTGAGGGTCAGCGAGGACCAGGAGACAGGCCAGAACAAAGCAGCGCTGTGGTTTGCAATTAAAAGATAGTGGAAATGTCAATGTCATGTTCACAACCACAAGGGTGCAAAAAAGTGAGCATTTTCAGGATCAAACGTGGAAACGACTTCACTGATTTGGAAAAGTTTGCTAATGGGACCCATAACGAGGGGCTGGTGTCTCGGGTGTTTGTGCCTCCTGAGAGGGAGAATCTGTTGTGGGTGAGTTGAGGGTGAGAGATGCATTTCTGCCCACAGCGGCTGTCGCTTTCTTAAAGTCTCATTACTGTGAAACAAACACAACAATTTAAGCCGAGCAGCAAAGTGTTCGCCATTCATCTTGTTCAGGACGCTCAAGAAAATGTTGCTGGAAGCTGAATGATTGAGGGGGCGTTTTTCTTGCTGCCAACACGGGCAAAGAGAGGGTTCAATTATATTGTAAAGTTTAAATCACTGCACAAGATAAAACGTTGATTGATTTGATGAAATATGTAACAAGATAAAGTCTCTGTCAGTGCTAGATTCAAAATACTGGAGCCGAACCTTTATTAGAAATTAGGTGTGCGCTTCCAGTTTTGCTTTTCGTTGCAACTTTGCCTTCATTAACAAGTATTTAGATGAAAAATAGGAAGACGTACTTTCTCCCTAACCCAACCCCGGAGATCTCTGCAGCTCATTACACCTGAGACAGTTTCCCAGGAAGGAAAAGAGACGGCGGCCGCTCAGTGCTCAGCATCCATTTGCTTTACTGTGGAGCTGAAGACAGAAATATGCGGGAAGCATCTTTTCCTCTTTTGTTAAATATGACAGAGCGCCGCTGCGAGTGCAGCAGAGGCTAATGATTTTCTCTGCCGCCAAGTGCATTACAGAACAAACACTCCACTTTTAGCGTGGAGGAAACTCTAAATTTAAGTCGTTCATCTTTCCGCTCCGTCCCATCATGTCTCCCCCGTGCGACGCGTTACACACATTAGCAGACGCTAACGACGTTCTCCGCTTTTTAAGCGGCGAGCCTGCGACACCCGCTGATGATGAATGGCTCCTGTTAGGTAGTGAGGGATGAGACGATCACCTGGGGAAGAATGACGGGGATTGCAGAGAGAGAGGAGGGGGGATGATTGCGTTTTTTAAGGTGGAGATAGATGATGTGACAAACGGCGCCCGTGTAATCTTGGGATTTGAACCTATGAGGGATGGGGCGAACGCCGAGGGAGGCATGACAGGGAATGCAGAGAGGATGATTGGGTTTTTAGCCCCAAACTGAAGATAGATAATGTGGCAGAAGAGGCAGATTAAGCTGCGTTTGATCCACTGAAGGATGGGCCAATCAGAGAGAGACGTGGGGGGTAATACAGAGAGGGCGGCGGGGAAACAAATATAATGTGATAGAAAAGTCACTACCAACTTGATGGCAAAGAGATTTAAGACCGAGAATTAGAAGATAATTGACTTTCATAGCCTCGGTGTGGAATATGTTGTGACGAGGAATGAATGAGGAATGAATTTAAGAGACAGCAGGGTGTTTTAATTTGTGCGATTTGGATTTTGAAGCAGCTTCGAATCTGTAAGAAGCACTAAAAAGCAAAGATTGTAAAGCAGCAGAATCACAGTCTGCAGTTCATTTTATTTGGAAAAATACCTTCAGACTAGAAGAGTCCTGCTTATCTTTTCAAACGAGGTGGTTTCAGGTCTTCTCATTAACAGAACATCACACAGTGTTGTTTTGTCAGAAGCCGCTGACATCACAGAGAAGCGGACATGTTTACTGTGGCGGCGATGCGGCGGTCTAAGCATTCGCAGCCTGTTAAACATCAACGCTGGTGCAGGATGCCTGCACTGACTGAGCCTCCCACAGCAACTTAGCTGATTTCAAACACAGCCAGACAACGGTGTGTTTGTCAGGTGACGAGTAAAGTTGGTAATTCCAGCATGATTCTCTTTTTCTGTAACATCATTTAGTCGACAGTTGATGACCAGTCAGATAGAGCCACACTTTTAATGATGACACCTTCAAAGCATCAAAAGGTGCTTCATTTTGAACCAGTGCTGGTCCCTCGGTGCTTGTTACCCTTCCTGTTGGCTCGTGTGGCTGTTGGAGAAAAAGAAGCAGACAGTTACTCCTGTAGCACCGTGGACGAGTGGTTTCTCCAGAACGCTGCAGCCAACAGTCTGCATCACAGAGTTTGCCTCTCCTCAAAAACATTAAGTCAGTGGCTCGTGACGCTGTTAGGAGCCATCTGTAAACATCTGGGTAGTTCAAGTAAACATGCAATTAAATTTGAAAAAATAACAACACTCAAGCAAAAATAGATGTTTTTAGTGCTTTAATATTTCGATTTACTTTGAAAAATGGGACAGAGTCAGGTTTATCCCCGTGTGACAGCCTGGAAACGTCTGGGAACCGAGGAGAGACGTTTCTGGACTGGAGAGGAATGTTGTCCCGTTGTTGGCTGATAGAAAATTCTAGTTCTTCAACACAGTTGTGTTTATAAAAGTTTTTGTTTGATGCTCCAAGTGTTTCAGTTGGGCATTGGCTTGCTGAGAAATGCAAAGTCTCCCCTGGATGTTGCTCTGAAACCCGAGCGCACCTTTCAGCACTGATGGTGCTTTTCCAGATGTTCAAGCTGCCACTTCCATAGACATCCATGCGTTCCTTTGCCATCAAACATGCAAACTTCAGAACAGAAATAAAGAGCTTTCCACTTTGTCCCAGTCCAAAAAGAAGGAGGTGGTGTTTCTGGGTCATGTTTCCATACAGCTTCTGTATGTGACCGAGCTTTAACCTGCAGTGATGGTTTCCATGACAGAATCATGCCTGTTTTTAAAGGAGCCCCAAAGTCACGTAGACTGATTTTTGCTGTTTCCTGCACACAGAGATTCCTTCAGATTCCAAAATCAGTTTCTTTACTCTCTCCGTCTCTCAGCTGTTTTTGAGATTTTCTGCTGCCATCCGATTAAAACTGATCTAATATTTAAAAATATTGTTGATCTCTGAGTTCTGTGTTGGAGGGTGAATCAAATATAGATTTATGAGATTTCCACACGATTGCATTCTGCTTTTGCTGACTTTTCCCAGTTTTTTCAGAATTGGGTTTGTAATTAGATCATTTTCCTCGTTTTCTAACCGAGACTCAAGAATAACATTTTGCTGCTCAATTAAATTGTTGGCTGTTGTCTTGGAAGACTTAATGCTCTGCTGTGTAAAAATGCTTTAATTTCCCACAGGAACTAAAAAAGTGGGCAGCAGCTTGGGGACTTGATGTCATCTCGACAACTGTTAGATGATAGATGCACAGAGTACAATGGAGGAACCAGTACGACGTCTGCATGCAGAATTAGTACCTTAGATCCTCAGCACCCAAAAAAGCATTTTTTTTACTCTGAAAGTTTCATTAAATCTCCAGATTCTCATTACCCTCAGGCCTGAAGGGCGAAGACATAGTGGGAGGAAATGCAGACGGAGTTCAGAGGATGATGGTAATTTTCTCAGGACCAGGAAGGGCACAGTGAAAATAGATAATACGACCGAAGAGGCGGGTATAACAGAGGGATTTGAACATATGAGGGTGCAGCAGATACCGGCGGTGTGGGGGGAGTACGGCTTTCTTGCAGAGAGCATGATTAGCTTTTTAATGGTGAACGGCCGGGAAGGTGAAGAGGGAAAATGAGGCAGAAGAGCCGGCATAATTTGGAGGGTTCAGTTGCAGTAATGGTGAGACGGCTGCAGCTCAGGGAGAGTGATGGGAGGTTTTTAGCATTTCAAATGTGCAACTCAACAGCCAGCAGATTCACTCTGGGATTTCCACCCGAAAAGTCTCACAGCTTCCCATTAACCACGGCGATCTGGAATCTATCACGGCTGTGGGAGAGCAGAGGAGGCTGCACGGAGGTCATAAATGTATGTGAATGTACAGACGGCTCGAAAAGCACACGTTCCTCAAAGAAAGCACTTTATTTTAAGATTCGTATTATTCCATTCGGCCATTTCAAAGGACGTGTCCCAGCTGTCGAGCCAGTGATAAGTCCTCTGGTTTTAATATCACTCTGGCAGATTAATTCGACTGTACACTCTGTAACAGTGGGGAGACTTTACTTTTCTGCTGTGCCGACAGTTGAAATTTTATTAGGCGTTATCAAACTTTTAGGCCTTTTTTGACTCGTCATTATCTTCCTTTTGCCAACTCGGCGTCTGCCCTTGCAGTTCCTCTCTGTACTTCCTGTCTCATTATTAAAGCTCATTCTAATCATTCTGTACTGAGGAATATATTCAGTACTTTTGCTTCTGCTGGATTTACCTTATTTCGATTTAAACTGTGGCTTCAGTTTGTTGGTATACAGCCGACTTCTCTTCTTTCCCTTTCATGTTTTTTCTCTGTTCTCTTTGTTAATGATTTTTCTGCTTCACCATCTTTCTCTCTCACTCTGCTTTTATAGTTTTTTCCCTGTTTTGACTCCAGACACTCACACATAAAATGCCCAAATATTTGCTTATATCGATATTTGTTCCTTAACCCTTTAAGACCTACCATTAAAACCAAGTCTGCCAGAGCTTATATTATATTTTCACATGCTGTGGAGCCATTTTTGGGAGCATTTCAAGTTGATATACATCAATACGACCATTATATTTTAATAATATGTATGCATTAAGTGCATAGTAATTACATAAATTGCAAAAAAGTGCAATAAACTACAAAAAAATTGAAAATGTTTTTGTTTTTTAACATATATTTCTAGTTAGAGAAATTTAAGAGGCTTATCCCTCAAAACTGTAAATACAAAAAAGTTGCACAAAATAGTTTCCCACCACAGGAAATTTATTTTAAGTGTCTTCATAGTTTTATTTTTGAAATACACCAATTTTTATACACTGCAGGAAAAACGAAAATAAATATTATAAAATAACAGCATCTGCATCAAAATAAACTATTTCCAGCAGTGCAATATGAGTCCTCAGCATCCCAGAAACGACACAGAAAGTCATAAAGTCAAACATAACTTTTAAAAACACCAGTATAGGCTCATGAGGCCCTGATGGTAAAAAACTACATTTCCGCAAAATGACGTCACTTCCGGTTTCGGGCAGGTCATGGCGGACGTAGGAAGTGTTACAAACAGCTGATCGGATCGGCAAAGCGTGTTTCTGGAATATTATGTTTTTGTTGCTGCAAGTGCTTTTTATGCAGTTTTTGCAAAGCTATATGTGGAAGGAAACTGTGACCGAGGACAAGCTGATGGCATCAGATGTAAGTACAACTCCTCCGGTTTCATATGCAAAAAAAATTATTGCGCTAGCTCACGTGGTTGCAGAGCTACCGGGATTTAAAAATAGTTACGCAAAACGGAGCGTGCTGCTCTGACCGGCTTTAAAGGGTTAATATTTGTTAACACTTTGCATACATATAATCTGTCTTTTCTCGTCCCTCTCTGCTTCTCAGTTCCTCTCTTAGCTCCCAGGAACCTGCGTGTCTCAGAGGAATGGTACAATCGCTTCAAGATCAGCTGGGATGTTCCACCGTCGCCCACAATGGGCTACAGGGTCATCTACCAGCCTCTAACTGGTAATTTAAACAATACCAATTATTTCTCCCTAATCTCTCTTTTTTTAGCTCATTTCAAATATTACAGTTTAAGTCCCATCGAGTCCAGACAGTTTTAAGAAATGTTTGCAAACCATAATTCTATAATTTTGTCAATTTCATAAATATGTGGATAAAAACTAAAAGACAGAAATGCTGATGGATGGGGGCAGGCATGCTGAAGGAGTTTCTTACTGTAACAAACCACCAGGGATAAAAATGTAATCCAGTGCTGAAGTGCACATTTGAAACTGTCACTGACACTTAAAATGCCAAACTTTACCTCAGAGGAAGGATCAAAAAAGGATGTTGGTCTTACTTCCTCACCAACGCTGGAGGACTCGGGCTGGTTTTTAGTACAATTACCCACACAGTGTACCGAATATGTTTGCAATAAAATCCTTTAAATAGCTCCAAAACCACAACGTGGTCGAGAAACCGAGTTCAGTGACAGATGAGTGAAAGTGAAGGCAGACAGCTAACTGCAGCTGCTAGCATCTGAGCCGCACCACTAACCCAGTGTAAGGCTCGGAACAGTTTAAAGTTTCACCCTCACGCACAGTCTTTGCATCCAGAGAAGAGACCCAAACGTTTTTTATAGAAGGCTGTTAGCATATCTTTCTGTTGTAAAGCTGAGATTTAAACTCAGCAGTCTGCGGGACTGATCTCAGGTGGAGTAAAATACCTGAGCTTTATTCAGCTGTTACCTGGTTCTCGTCTCTTTTTTGTTGGGTTTTGTCAAAATAGGATTATGTTAGGAACAAATGAAAATATCCCGGACCTGCTGCACTTCTCACAGCTGTCAGTTTTAACAGTATAGAGGAATGTGAGAGGAAAACTGATATTTTATGCTGCAGCTGAAGCTAATGATGACCTCTGAAGTTGCTCCTCTGTTCTCCTTCTGCTTCACTGACCGTCTACTCATCCTTGACGTGTCTCCTCCATTATCCCACCGCACCCTGCAGCCCCTGGACAAGCCCTGGAAACCTTTGTGGGGGAGGATGTGAACACCATGCTGATCGTTAACCTGCTGAGCGGTACCGAGTACAGCGTCAAGGTCATCGCCTCCTACTCGACCGGATCCAGCGAAGCCCTGACAGGAAGGGCCAAGACCTGTAAGTTCATCATTCATTCCTTTAATTCTATAGTCCCGGTCACACTGAATTAGAAACAAATGTGCTGTTTAAGAGCGTCTCTGGAAGTTATTACTGTAACAACATAACTCGGGCCCTGTTCAAAGCAGCAAATAACATTAGAGAGCTTTGTGGCCTCCAGTTAAGCTCATTAAGTGTTTCCTCGGTTTAAACCGATGCTCTTCAGCAGTCGTACAACTTTTCTAATTTAATTTTTCAAACCAATATTTCAGTCACTGGAAACTGTTCATGGATCCTTCCAACAGTTTACAGTGTAATCTCTTTTTGTAATGGAGTATGTCTCCATTTTTAATATCACGATATTTTGCAAAAAAACAATTGTTCTGAAAAACAAAGCGACACTTTTTATTTACTTCAAATCTGATTTCATCTCCATCTAATAAAACTACACCTGCAGATTGTATATATAATGTTTTTACCTGCAGCTTTATTTCATTGCCCCAAACAAATCTCTGCTTGTTGTATTTTGTCTTGAATGTTGCTTTCAACCTTTTTAAAGATTCATTTTTTGCTGACCTTCCTAAACTCCACCAGCTTTAATTAAGAACAGCTGCAGCCTCTTAGTTTATTTCATTTCAATTACAACAGGCAGTCAGACACTTCAGAGGTTGATTCCTAGATACCCGTGCGATGCTCTTAGCAGCAGTCGCAATCTAATTACAGGATATTGTCTTTAAAATGTTATTATGTTTGTCTTCACTGTAACTATAACCATGATTAAAAGAGTAGGATGATGGAGTCTTCAGCTGTTGCCTCGCAGCATCCAAAATCCGTCTCTTTTTACTCTGTTATGGATTTATAGTGTTTTACTCTTTAGATGTAAAGTAAGAGGAGCCTCGTATTAACAGACGGGGTTTGTGTTTTCATTAAAATATTTATACCTGCACTTGTTTTGAGTGCAAATTTGTTTTTTTGTTAGTTGTAATCAGAGATGGGCAGTAACGCGTTACTGTAATCTGATTACTTTTTTCAAGTAACGAGTAAAGTAAGGGATTACTATTGCAAAAACGGTAATTAGATTACCGTTACTTTCCCGTAGGAACGCTGCGTTACTGCGTTACTAAAACCGTGATTTTTTGCGAGAATGTCTCATGACAGTGACGTAAGCGAGTGCGACGTTCGTGACAACAGCTGTGTGCAGATCAACAATGGATCACATATCGAGTGCAGAGAGAGTATGAGCGTGCAGCGTTTAAAGCGTGGAAGTACTGACCTTACTTTGAGTTTGATTCCATAAAAAGTGACAAAAACATTAGTGTCCGCTGTGCGTGGGAAGAAAACTTCTTTTTACAGCGAAAAAACCTAAACTTCCAACAAGCACCGAGTAGCTACGACGTAATGGGAAACTCACAGAGAAACTCGCGGATTCTTCCACTGACCGCGGCACACCTGCACCAGGGTAAACCTCCGCCTACCCCACTCCTGCTTTACAGGTGAAAATAGAGCAACAGGACCGCTGAGTCTTTGACTTTATTTATTTTCTGCTGTGTTTTACTTGCATCTATTTGAAAGACTGAGTGTAAACACAAAAAATATTTTATTTTATGTGCTGGAATGTGCAGAAAATAGGTTTAAATGTTAAACTAATTTCTTCCAGTCAGAGAATGTTGCATATAATTATTTTTGCTTGATGCATAAAGTTAAAAGATTAAAACTAATAAAACAAGTTAAAAAAGAGACTTTTCCATTTGATTACATTTTGTATGATGGATTATGCAGAAAAAGTAGAATTGGGCTGAAAGATCTATCGCTTTATCACCTATTCAGGTTGTAAATCGTGTTTTTAAAAAGTAACTAAGTAATTAATTACTTTTGAAAATAAGTAATCAGTAAAGTAACGGGATTACTTTTTGGGGGAAGTAATCAGTAATTAGTTACTGATTACTTTTTTCAAGTAACTTGACCAACACTGGTTGTAATGCACTGATTTCATCAGTCCTTTCAAAAACATGTTAACTGTTTGAATGTTATATCCTATTTGCTTTAATGAGGAAGAGCACTGCATCTTCCTCTTACCTAATTCTGCTTTACCTTTATAAAGTGTGATATTCTCTGTGGAGCTGCAGAAGGAGGGATATTCATGTGTGACTTGCTTTATTATTATTATTTTATCTGCAATCTTCATTTTAAATGACTTGTGAATGTGCTGAGAAGTGCATGCACTGCAGCACGTGCATTTTGGCAGCTGGTAGTGTAATTGCGACCATAAAAGCCATGAACATTAACACGCCACTCAGCTGCTTGTTAATGCAAACGTCCACGCAGCCAATCACATTGATGGTGCAGTTAGGGATGACGTGATGGAGAGATGACCTGCTGTTCAAACTGAGCGTCAGAATGAGGAAGGAATGACATTTAAGTGACTCTGAACATTTCGTTCTAGTTGGTGCCTCATGAGTTGGTCTGAGTATTTCAGAGGCTGCTGATTGGCTGGAACTGTCCTTCCCATAACCATCTCCGGGGTTTTCAGAGGTCAGAGGAGTGAGTGCTTGAGCTGAAATGAACTTAAACCAGTAACTTAAACCAGTGTTGCAACGTATGCAGAAGAGCGTCTCCAAATACACAACACATTGAACCTTGAAGCAGGTGGGCAGCAGCAAACAACACTGCGCACATTTCTATTGCAACATTCAAATAGTACAATCAGAATCTGACACAAACATGAAAGCATGGATCCGCCTGCCTTGTGTAGGTTGTTCCTCATGGTGGTCTAAGGGTGTGGGGAATCGTTTAAACACTACACCTCTATGACCACAGTCTACCATCTTCACTGCACTCAAATGGCCTCTACAGTCACCAGATTTCAATTCAACAGAGCACTTTTGGGATGTAGTGTAATGGAAGATTCTCATCATGGATGTGCAGCAACAATCCTATGATGTGTCTGTGAAGGTTCTCAGTCATCCAGGTCATCGTAGTCAAAGGAGCTTTGAAAGAAAAGCGTCTGGACTTCTTTAAGTTGCTTGAAGACGTTTCACCTCTCATCCGAGAAGCTTCTTCAGTTCTAAGGTCAAATGGTGGAGAGTCCCAGATATAAACCTAGTGGGAGTAACCCCCCACAGAGGGACAAAAGGACCCCCTGATGATCCTCTAATCGCCTGAGCCAAGGTGTGAAACTGGGCGTGGGTCCCAATCAGCCAGAGTTTCGGGTGAGTTCATTGTGAAACCTGGCCCCACCTTATCATGCGAATTCCTGAGATCAGATGGCCCAGGATGTGAGTGGGTGTTAAGGCGTCTGGGAAGGGATCTCAAAACTGGATTATAGATGTCCTATGATGTCATCTTGGACCAAAATCCCTGAGAAATGTTTCCCGCCCTGGTTAAATCTATTCCACAGAGAGTTAAGACAGTTCCAAAGTCTAAAGGGGAACTAACATGGTAGCAAGGCGTACCTGATGTAGAGTGTATTCCACCACTGTGGTGACTAGTCCCAGTTTAACAGGTGGTATTATAAGGAGAACCTAATTATTGTATAAATAAATGCACATGTAAATGCCATATTTGTCAGTATTGATGTTTAAGGGGATTTCATGACCCGGTCATTTAATTTTATAATTGAGCTGAAAAACTCAGCACATGGCCCCGCCCCTCCCTGAGCCTGATTCTGCCGGAGGTTAAAAGGGAGTTTTTCCTTCCCACTGTGGCCAAAGTGCTTGCTCACAGGGGGTCATGTGATTGTATGTATTATTCTAGGGTCTACCATACAATATAAAGCCCCTTGAGGCGACTGTATGAATAAAACTGAATTGAAAAGAACCAAATATTGCAAAAGCTATGATCGGCACTGACTGGATGTGTCAGACGATCATTATTATTTTTAACTTAAACAACTACTAAAGAAACACAAGAATAACTGGTTTGTTTTAGGTTTGAAGTAAATGAACTTGACACAAATAACAAACCACTTTCATATTACCTGTGGCACTTTTTGAAAAAAGTCATTTGAAAGTCCAACCGTTTGCTCAATTTTGTATATATATATTTATTTATTTATTTATTTATTTTTAATCAAATATGAGGTCAAAATCTATTTAAGAAAATAAAGATAAAAGCAACTATAAACTACAAAGTATACCTTTCCTGCACCGTGATGATTTCCCAATAGACCAGTACATCTTTGCTCTGCTTGCTCTTAATTGTTCTGTTGGCATTTTCTACCCAGGATCATTTATACACCTTGTTATTGGTTTTCTCGGCCCATTCTACCTCTTTGAGTACAAGTGAATAAACAATATCATCTAATCTAATCAGAGAGCAGTCAGACTCCTGCAGGCTCAATATCTTGATATCCATCTGACACCTTTAATGGCGACTCCACCTAATTACATCCCAGTGCTGGAATGAACTGTATGGATTTAAGTTATCTCACTTGTGATGTGGACACTTCCTGGGGCTCTGTGAGTGTGTGGCCTGGTTCAATCAATCACTTGCTTCTCAAGTACAATCATTAGAGTAGGAGCCTGGATTTTCCTCTCCTGCATGATAATTAATCACTTCAGTGCAGACTGGCCTATCGGTGAAATAGCCCTTTTTGAAAGGTCTCTGGTTTGATCTCCATGACAGCCAAAGCATCCAGTGAAAACTATGTGTCCTTTTGAAGTGTCCTTGAGCAGGACTCCGAACTTCTCCCCTTTCATCCGCTCTCATTGCTCTCTGCGCGAGAGCTCTCGATACAAGTGTCAGCTAAATGCCTGAACACGCAGCTTTAAATGGAGCGTGTCACTTTGCATTGGAGCCACAGTTTCCGCTGCCTGCATGACAATTAAGCACTTCTTGGTTGAATTGAAGGACAAGTTTGGAAGGAAAACGAGGAAAGAAGAAGGGGATGAACTCTGACAAAGATGGAGAGATGGGTTGAGTCGAAAAGAGAGCAAGATGATGAGGCCAGTGGGATCCCAGGAGGTGAATGGAGCATCTGTCATATTGCTCACCAGCATGTTAATGAAGCCAATGGACCAGCAGAGCTTAGTGGGCTGATGTGTCAATGTCACGCAGAGGACAAGTATCATGGTCGTTGTGGCAAAAAGAAGAATGACACTCCAGGTTATCTGCTTATACCTAAAGGTTTATGAAAGAAATACCCCAGAAAAAAAGTTGTATATGGCCTTTAATGCTTATTGCAAGGATGCAGCAAAAGGTTACTTCTTGTGAAATACTCAAAATTTAAGTTTTAAGTTCAAGAATTTCAAAAGTAAAGCAGTGATTTAGAAGTAAAGCATGAAGCAATCAAAGCGTGTTGAAAGCCACAGAGACGCAGTGTTTAGAGAAAATGCATCTTAACTGTTGAGATACTCTGGACACATGAGGGATCACTGAGGTTGTCCTTCCCTCCTGGATCGGCTGGAGCTTTCTTTAGGTGCCTTCACAGGTTTGACAAATGTCCAGCTGGGATAACCACATTTACTCAGCAATGTCTTGCTCTCCTGCTTCCCTGGCCACTGTGTCTGTGGGGATGGTGTTCGATCTGTATTGTAGCGTCCTGATGGCGCCCAGTTTGTGCTCCAGTGGATGTAGGTTTACGGTACGCATCAGCTTTTAAATGTCCTCCACTACTGATGGAAATCTCACAGTCTAAGAAGGCTAACCTGCCACTTTTCATATCCTCCCTGATGAATTTGATGTGTCGGTGCACTGAGTTAATCTGATCCGTGAATTTTGGTCGTCCTGAGATTTGATTTTCACCCACATACCTGAACCGATGACTCAGTGGGGTTCCACTGTTTCCATGTGGAAGTTGGCCACAATGGGTGAAACTGGGGAACTCATGGCACATCCATCCACCCACACACCCACCCGTCCACCATCTCATAATTATTCTTGTCACACAAATTGTTTTTGTGCTCTAATCAGCTGTTCAAGCCTTTTCACAGTGAAATCGAATCTTACTTTAATGAATTTACATCAAATATCAATCTACTGATAACAATCTGAGCGACTCGATATTAAGGGAACAACCAGAAACATTATGACCGAAGCTTCCTGCACATACAGATTGTGTGGCATTTAGAAAAGTGCAGCTGTTTGGAGACGGGCTCTCTCTGCGTAACAGAGCCTGAGAAACTGACATATTTTGCATCTTAAAAGATACTAATTAGTAAAATAAAGCTGATGACCTAATCGTTAATGTCTCCATGTCTCATGAATGTTGCGCATTAGATACTTTTTCCATTGCAGTGGGAGCGTGTTGGGCAGGCTAACGTAGCTCTTTATATCTAACTCTTTACAGGTGATCCTGCATCCTTTGTTAGGATATGTCTCCAGTGCTCGGTTTGCTTGAACATATCTGTGAGCAGCATGTATGTGCAGAATATAAGTTTCCTGAAGAGCCTCATTGTAGTTTTTACAAGACAAAGAAGCAGCTGCTTTACATCCATCTGAGCTCCTTTAACTCGCAGGGAGTGTGAGCGTCTCTGCCCAACGGGACAGTGTGAAGCAGCACGACAGTCTGAGGTCACTCTGCTTGTAAACGGTGCATTGCTCTTTTGGGGGTGGGAGTGAGTAACTGCCCAAATGAATAAGCATCATGGGTTTTTGTTAACGAGCGTGGGCGAGATGGAGTCTGAATGTGCCGCATCAGCAGAAACAGAAACGCTGCGCTGGATTGTCGTGGTGAAGTGGGACCACTGAATCAAAGTTACTGCTGATGATTCTCAACATTTTCCTCTGTGTGAAATTTACCAGTAATTCCTGTTGAATATTGGCAGATTATCAGTAGTAGCAAATTCAAACAGCTGGAGTGTTTTGCCTCCCGCTGCCTTTACTGTGTCGACATATATGTAGAGATGCTGACTTAAGAATCCCTTTGCGTCTCCTCATTAAATCACTTGCTGAGAGGTTTGCAGGAATATTATGCAGGGATACATTATGCATTTGTATGAAGTTCACAATAATGCAGATTAGATATTTGGCTCAACTGGAAATGTTCTGTTTTGTCAGAGGGAATGATACTGAGCTGTACAGGCCATTACCAGCTCACAGAGACACGCATGCTAATGTTCTTCAGCTGGGAACAAGAGCTGCTTTCAAACGTCGCACCATAAAAGCGCATACATACCATTTGCATAAACAGAGTGTGTGTGGGTTTGTTTGTGCGTGTGTGCATAAGCCAGACTTCTGAAGCAAAGACAGTGCAGCTACATTTCTGTGTGTCTGTAAATAACTTCATGAAAGTGCACTTTGGTGTCCTTGAAACCAACTGGCCAGAGACTTTTGCATCTGCCGTGTGGAAACAGGATGCCGTGTGGTTCCTCAGATGTGAGCTGAGTGCTGTTAAACATATATATAGCTTTGCTCTTATGGCAGTATAGAGAGGAATGCTTACAAGTTTATAATGCACATTTTTAGGCTTCCAGAAAGGTTTAGTTTTATGTCTCAATGCTGCTTTTGTTCGTGTCCAGACTCATGACATCAAAACTCGCAGCCTCCGCCACAGCTGACTGTAGGAGAATAGCAGAGACATCAAATTACATTAAAATGTCCAATAATACAGCTGTCACTGACCCACATCACATCTGTTCTAAGACTAAGAGATCTGAGACAGATTTTAGCTTTAGTTTTTGGAAATATCTTATCATGTTCGGTTCAATTTAAATCTAAATAACTTTCTAAATAATTAAGTTTCTAAATAACGAGAGCAAATGTTAGATATGTACTGAAACCTCCACAGCCAGCCGTGTGCTCCTGGTGTGAGGAGGCTGCTGCTTGTCTGATTGGTGAAATGTTCTTGGAGCATGCCATGAAGAGGCTCACGGTGCTGTGATGTCATTGTTCCAGTATTAATAAGAGATGTTTAAAGTCGGCAGAGAAATATGTTTACTGCAGAAGCCCCACATTCCTGAGCTGCAGCTCTTCATTCACTGAACCAAAGCAGTCGTTGAGCATTTAGTTCTTTTTGACAGATTCAAGAATGGAATTTGGAAATAACGTCTGGGCCCGTAAATATCTGCTCTGCAAGTAAAAACACCTTTTCTGTTTCCCTGCAGTGTACCTGGGCGTGACTAACCTGAGTACCTATCAGGTGAGGATGAACGGGCTGTGTGCCCAGTGGCAGCCTCACCGACATGCCAGCGCCTACAGAGTGGCCCTGGAGTCGGCGGTTGGTGAGTGCAGTGATGGCAGCGTGATTTTAAAGGTGGTCTTATTCCTTCTGTGTGATGTTTTGCTCGTACTCCCATCTGTACTGTGTATGTAAGCAAATGAAGGTCAGCCTGAGGCGTTTGTTGCATCATGTGAGTAAATATTTCTCAATATTAACATTTTAAACTTATGAACCTGTTCTCATCATGAAGGTTTGTAGTTATTATATTTGCAAGTGGAATTCCTTTCATCCCAGTATCTCTGCTTGACTACGTGCACAATCTCAGGCTGCTAAAAAAAGACTCGTTTGTAGGTGGTGGAAGATCTGTCAGCACGTTGGACGGTTCCAGTGTTTGTGCCAAGCTTCGTAGGCACACCAAGGAAACACATTTCTGAACTCTCGTTCTGAATTGGGGAAAGACATTGTGCATGTATTTTATTAATGTTTTAAGGTTATATTATTGAGAAGTATTTACAGCTTTGTTTGCAGATATTTAAGATACAGCTGTGTGAACATGTGAACCCCAAACATCCAGGTCACACGTATGGATACAACACAGAGCAGTTTGGATTTCCTTGTCTTTAATAAGCACACAGTCTCACGGCGCACACCTGGAAGAAGAAAAAACGAACTCTGTGCTCTGTTGGAGGAAGAAGGCCTGCTCTTTGAAACTGTGAAGCACCGTGGAGGGAGCGTCCCGAATCGGGGCTCATTTGGCACCTTGGGGCACGGATGCCTTCCAATGACTTGGAGAGCAATAAATTTCAAAAATGTGTCAAGAAATTTCAGAGGAGAATGTCAGGGAATCAGCCCGTGACCTGAAACAAATAAATCGAAACCATAATGATTAAAAAAGAATACAAAAGGTCCCAACATTAACCCAGCTGAGACGATGCAGCAGACCTCGAGTGTGCTTTTTCAATCAAACCGTCCCACAAGTGCCGATGACCCGGAACCCTTATATAGGAGTTGTCCTCATTGTTGTGCGAGCTTTATGAGCCATGAGAAGAAATGGTTGCTGCTGTTGGAGCTAAATTCAAAGGTTCGCTACCTTCTCCCACCCTGCACGTGATTCCTCAGTCTGTCCTGTTTAGACATGAAAATGACTCAGATGAAGATCTCACCGTTCTCCTCCATATTTATATAAAGCTCTTATAAACACTGTTAAAACAAAACATGTCCAGTAATCTGGAAAAATCTTGCCAATAAGCTTGTGTACCAGATCAATATTCGATTATCTTTGTGTGCCTGCAAAGCTTGGCACGAGCACTTGGCTTTACAGTGGGAGTCACTGAATCAAGAAAAACCTGCTTGCACATATTTTAAATACACAATACGCTAAATTTTCAGTGTGAATTCACAAACATTTTGCTGCTATATGTTTGGAGATGTTTGCAAATGCGATATCAGTGCAAACGTGTGAATCTGAACTCTTCTCCCATCATGGCTTTGGATTAAGGCGAGGAGTTAAACGTGACAGTGCATCGCTTTAGCATTTACAAAATACTGCATGTGTAACTGTAATTCTTCCCATCAAACTCCTACGCTGCATATCCAGTGCAGTAGGAGAGCAGCCTCATTCATACTCGCATGCTTTCATCAGTAGGAGTTTCAGTATGTAGCTGAAGCAGAGGGTCCAATTTTCTGAATCCCTAAGCAGCCGGAGATGACAAAGATATTGTTGTATCCCATCTGAGACGTGCTGACACTTTAAAGGTTTAGCTGTACAATCAGACACTGTGCCGCTCTGTAGAAAAGGAAGGCTTACGGATCACAGCACGGGTGACATTTACATTTGCTGCATGAGGTAAAATAAAGCGAACAAAAAAGACAAAAGGTCGCGATTACGGCTGCCGAGTGAGGAGATGTGCTTGTTACAGCAGTGACAGTAATTATGCCCTGTTGTGTCTATTCTCAGAGGTAAACTTTAAGGAGGGGGAAGGAAAAAGTACAGTTATTTTCTTCTTATGAAGTTTTCTGTTGAAGTTTTGGTTGCACCTGCAACTTCTTTCCTCTGATTGTGACGATATATTTTTTTAAAACAATAAAAACCGAACTGCTTCTATTTAGAGTTCATTATGTGTGGGAGTGTGAAGAAGAAGAAGGGAAGTGAAGCCTGCCGTCTGCATGAGTCAGTGCGCGCGTAAACGGCAATCAAGCCGTGCATCCCAGCGTTAGCTCGAAGTGTGCCGAGACTCTGGCAAATTCAACAGATACGTTCTGCTTGCAGAAACGTGTTTTTGTTTATAGCCCACCGCTGACGTTCTTTTACTAGACTGTCAGCTAATTAACTTTAGTGTCATGCTAAATTATGCCTGCATCGTTAAACATAATAATATAAGCTAGGTGGCTGTAGTGGCTCAGTAGTACGTGGTTTATGTATGTATAGCAAGCAAAAGCCCCCGGGTTTGATCCCAGGAGGAGACGCAAACCCCTCGGCGGGGGGGGTCTCGAAAGGGAACCCAGAGTATAAATCTGCCAAACATCAAACATGCGACAGTACCTGCTGTGGCGAGGCCTTGTGAAGAAGGAAGCAGCAAAAGTACAAAGGTGTCTGCACGTGTGAGTAATAATAATAAATGCCCTTGTTTTTACGGTGAGATTATACTTTTAGACGCGCAACAGAAGGAAAAGCACCTTTAATAAGTTTTTTATGTTATTTGCACTTTGGCAGTAAAAAGCGTCGTGCAGCTCTACAAAGTTTGATTCAGGATAGGCCGACATGTCCACACATCCTGCTTCTGCCAAAGGTTTCTTCCAAGTGCTTGCTTATAGGGGTCCATTTGACTGTTGGGGTTGTCTCTGTGTTACTGTAAGGTTTACATTACCAGGTGAAGTGCTGTGGGATGACTGTTGTTTAGGTTGGTGCAGAACTTTTATAACTGCAGTTGATTAAGACTGGAACAAACAAACAAGGATCATTCCACCGTTCATTAATACATGCACAGTACAAACAAATTCAGATTTACAGGAAGACATGTCCTCTCGGTGGAAGTCAGATGTAAAGCTTATAAGTAGCAGCTAGCTGTGCAGCTAGTTGTGGTTCTCTGTTGCTTCTTGCTTCTTACCCTGACTTTGGTGCTGTGATGATCCCTAAAAATAAAAATCTCTAATAATTTCTATTGTTTCTAAAAACATGATCAAGGATGACAAGATTCCCACAGAGAGTGGGCATTCTTGCTAACAGTGTAGAAGTTCTCCAAATGCATATTTAAAGGAACGGTTTTCTAATACATGGTTCACCTATGATCCTTTTCTAAATGGAACCAAGTAGATCGTGTCCTTATAATCAGATATAATATGTCCACTAAAATCCTGCGTTTGTCCCTTACATCCCTCACAAACATGTCTTTATTTAGAATTCCTCTTTAGCTCTGCACTTCCTCCACTACAGAACAAATTGGCTGCAAGGCCTTATTACAGCATTTTGATTGGCCGTCAGTGATGGTCCCCAAACCAATATTAACTTGATGTTCTAGGAAGAAAAACAGCCACATGGTGACAGCAGATACACTTTCACATTACCTCCAGTGTCTGTTAAACTCTCCTGAAACTCTCTGCAATTTATTTATGAACTGATGAACTTTAATGTGTTCGTACGTCAGCTGCCAAACAGGCCACTGCACCAAAGTCACCTCTGTGAAGCAGCCTTATGCCTATAAAAGTCATTTCCTCAGTTATGATTCTGTGCAGCCACCAACAAAAACAATAGTTCTTTGTCTGACACTGAGAACACGTCCAAATAGCATCAAACAACAGATGGTCTGGCCCTGAATCGATTTTAAACATCCACCACTCAGTCAGCACCTCAAAGCTAAGACTAACTTTTAATACAGCCGTCATCCACCAAATAGGAAAGTAATAGCTGTTATTCATCACCTTTAGGCGTCCAGCAATAACACTGGCGTCATTAACGTCACATAAAAGGCACAAATTCCCCCGTGTCTCCTCGGGGAGATCCAATGTGTTGGTTCTCTCAACACACAATGAAGCTAAATAATGACTTATGTTAGAACAGCTGGTAAATAATTACACCTGCTGCTGAGAATGGGGGAAATGTGTGATTATCCTGTTTTATTATTGAACAGGCTGGAATTTAAAGGGAGTGGAGGGAGGTAAATTTAGGGAATAGGGTATAGAAAGAAAGACAGAGTGTAAAGTGTGTTTTCATACATCCTCCTGCAGGACAGAAGGATTTACCATGTTCAGCTAGAATTTACAGAAACAACTCTTTGATCTTTTGCTGCACAGGATCAATTCTTCACCCTTATTATGGTCTTATCCCAGTTTAGCTACACAGGAATGTTGTGGTGCATTTAGGCGTCTCATAGGTTCCTCTGCCTGATGACTCCCTCACAGCTCGAGCTTCCAGCCATCATCAATGTGATTAAATCATGTCACAGATTATATGCAGTATTACTCATAGCGGCACTTCTGGCATGGATTCTGAGGGATTGAACTCTATTTGATGGTGCCTGAGGAAAAAGGAGCATTTATGGGTTCAGTGACCTTCGGTGCAGAGGTGGCGAACTCCAGGCCTCGAGGGCCGGTGTCCTGCAGGTTTTAGATCTCACCCTGGGTCAACACACTCAATCAAATGATTGGTTCATTACCAGGCCTCTGGAGGACTACGAGACATGTTGAGGACTTAATTTAGCCAAATAAATCAGCTGCGTCCTGCTGCTGCTGCTCACATTGGTTTGATTCACTTGACTTGACTCCTTGACTTGACTTAAACTGAGATTTTTCCACCCATACACTCCCACCTGTGTAGTTTCGTGGTGAGCTTGTCCTTCTCATTGTCTTTGCACTCGATGCCTCTTTAAGTCATTAAAATGTTCCACCAGTTCCCTGTAATGAAGTAAAGGCTTGGTGTTTCATGGATAACAGGTTTTTCTTGGAAAACTGTTTGACATGTTACCAATGGACCCTGACTGTTAGGATGGAGTGAACAAGTACAACAGGAAGGTGTTTGATTGGTTCAATAATTGGATTTGATTCATCAAGTATTAACAAACCAAGCGAACAGTAGCATCCTAATGACAACAAAGATAAATAAATGCTTTCATTTTCAATCTGTGACAACGTGCTGGGTTTACGATGTGTGCAGATTGTTCTACACACTTGCATGTGCGTGCACTTGCTTTTATTTCTGCATGTGACAAATACAGAATCGTTTTTGAGAAAGATAAAGATGTTCTTTGTACTTTTGTTGCAGGCAGCCAGAAGCAGGAGACGAGACTGAGCGGGGGAGCGAGCAGGCACTGTTTCAACAACCTGAAGCCCAACATGCAGTATAAGATCAGCATCTACGCTCAGCTGCAGGACGGGACCGAAGGGCCTGCAGTCACCACCGCTGAGAAGACACGTAAGGACCTGAGCTTTGAACACACGTGTCATTCACATGTTGCAGTTCCACGACTGGATTCCTCCTGCTGCTGCTATTTTAAGATCACTGCACAGAAGCCTCGTTTACATTTACACTTGTGTGTCTCTGTGTGTGCTGGGTTGCTTCCACTCTTTCAAATTGGGCACACTTATATATTGCATGCCATTGTACAAGATCTTAATTTCTGACGCCAGTGGCCAACGTTTATCTGATGCCAACGTGTCCATTTATCCCTGGCTAAATATTCAACAACAGTGTAATGAGGAGCTAAAAGGCTTTTAAGAGTGCAAATATTTCACAGTAAATGCATTTGTTGAGGGTTTCTCCACACCCCCAGAAACTCTTGAAATCAATGCCTCAAATAAGCTTAAAGATTTATTTTTAAATCTTAAAACGTTGATACTTTTCACCAGAATATAACGAATCGTGTTTTGTGATGCCAAAGTTTAAAATGTAAAACATGGCCTCCAGGTTGCTGACAGCTGCTGCAGTGTGTATTTTGGGCAGAAGGTTTTTCCAACTTGGCTTTGTGGGACTCAAAGCAGTGATGGCCAACACAGGACTGAGTCAGCAGCTCCAACAAGGCAGGCTGCAGCAGTCCCCTACATTTATTCAGCAGTTGCAGATACAGACAAAGAATAGTTTGCATTAATGTAAACACAGCAAACAGCTGGTGTGGAGAGAGCACGTGGGAATTCATGTAGTTTCATTGAGTTCTGATTGGTTATGTTGGTCGTTCATCATGTCTCTGGAGAAACAAAAGAAATCCACTGACAACAGCTGTGCTGCAAATATTTATTGTAATCGTCAATATCAGCCTAAAATTGCACGATCCCTACATGACCTTTGTGTGGAGACTGGCCACTTTTATTTCTGATAGGGATGCATGTGTGTAGTATTTCCCATTTAGTGTGAGACAAATGTTTCAGAGCAGGCGCTCTGTTCTTTTTCTTATTTGAGTGTTCTATGAGAGAACTAATGTGTACGACCGTAATGCCGTCGCTCAGTCATTCTCGGGCTCGTTTATTTCGACCACCAACAGAGGACTGAAAACTTTGGCTGCCTCTAAGGTTGTCATATCTGCAGCCAATTTGAAGCTGAAAAACTGGGAAATCCTGTAAACTGCTTTTTGATGTGCAGCGTTTCGCACAAACCCACTCGTGCACTCACCGCCGACACATCCAGAAGTACTTTGCCTCCTCCATTCGATCTGCCAAACGCCCGTTTTAAAAGCGCCCTTACATGTGTCATAATAACAATATAGCAGAAGCACACGGCGGGGAAACACACACAATTATACACAAACTGCTGTCAGCTGTCATCGGTTTAAGAAGAAGCCCGGTCCGGGCTGGGAGGACGATCACGTCATTTTCAACATAAAACATCTTTTATCCTCGCCGGAGCGCCGAGTGCCGAATCCTCTTCCTTTTCAGGATGAGCCTTTTGTTCTGCAGCAGCAGCCCCAAACACTAATCAAGACCCACTGTCTGGAGACGGGAGGGTGACGGGGTGGGTGGGCTGTTGTTTTATTTTCAATGAGGCCCGTGTGCAGTAAATTCACTACTCGCTTTAGTTACGTTCAGCTGTATTCAACACTTTAATCACCAGCTTCACTGCAGAGATGAAGAAGTTTTAATCAACTGCTTTGAGAGCGCGCACACGTCAGCGTGTCTCACGTGTCACTTTATAAGATCCACCGTGTGTTGAAGAAGCGCTCGAGATCACAGCCAAAGCTGCGCGACGGTGCAGCTTTAATAACGAGTCGACCAAATAACTGGATACAGGTTTGTTTTCAGTCAACACAGCTGCCAGCAGCCGTGCTGTGAGACTCACAGGGTTCCAGATGGATGCAGATATGTGCGTGCTGTTTTATCTGCTTTCCATTGTTATTGCAGCAATAGCAGTATTGATTTAGTAACGGCACTTGATTAGTACAATCAGCAGAGGGTGTAAAAAATACAATAAAATGGATAAAATAAAAGTTTTTGGAACTGCAGGCAAACTCAGTTTCTGATAAATAAAAATGGCGACGCCCTGCTGATGAGAAGTTATTTGGCTAACCTCCCATTCCTGGTTGTTTCCTCTGCACTGTGTTCAGTGCTGCTCTGAGTTTCACAGTGCAGGCGATGATCACTGGAGGTCCTGCTCTGCTCTCATCTATGTGCACATTTGCAGTTTCAGCTCAGACCCACAGACCAACTTTTACTTTGAGCACTTTTATTGTTCCTGAGGTCGCCGCGAGTAAACTCAGAGGTGAGCAGCCTGTTTCCTTTGCCAACTGTCTGCAGTGCACTGAAGTGTTTTGCAATATGTGCGTGAATGTTTTCATTCACCTGTTAGCAGTGCTACACAGTTATAATGGGAGCATAGTGTTTCCTAAATCAGGCTGCTGATCTGAAAGCTAATTTCTGTGGCAAACTAAAACGAGTGAAGTGAGAATGACGAGCCGGGAGAAAAGCATAGTTCAGAGGTGGCACGGAGACGAGAACCCGCAGAATTGAAAACGGGACAAAGAAAATATCCAGAGATACAAGAAAGAATGTTCCCTCCTCGAAGCTAAGCAGACATTTGTTTGCTTGAAGCTGCTCCCCTCTGTACCGCAGCTCTGCAGTGAGCTTCCACAATGATTTATTGCTTTGTTTTGATGCAAATGAAAGCCAGAGCCTTTCCTCCAAATGACTATCCCCATCGCTGCAGGCAGCCACTACTGAATGCTCCCTACCTGCCATCACAAGTAATTCTCAGCCTCAGGTAGCTGATTTACTGCCTAAACAGCGCTGAGTGCATAAACGCACAAAGACGCTCAAAGACACACGGAGAATACAGGCAGGAAGGCAGAGACAGTGGGAGTGCGCGTTGGACAGCAGCTAACACTGTGATCAGTGCAGCAAATTATACATGAGCTGAATGTAGTTACTGTACACGTTTGGGCCATACGTGAGCGCTCTGTGCAGTTTCACCGCGTGTTTCACTCAGGGTCATGTGGCACACGAGGGTGGTTTTGTTATAGTTACAGGCTGTCACATCCTCATGTGTTTGTTTGTTCTGCAGTACCCGTCCCGACCCCACCACCCACCAAGCCCCCGACCACCACGCCTGCACCCACAATCCCTGCTGCCAAGGAAGGTAGGAGAGCAGTTCTAATGCTGTTATTGATCGTCTCATCTTTCGATCTCTTTATGTTGATGTATTGTTGTTGAGGTGTTTTGGTGACATCAGGCTGCATCCAAACAGCTTCTTTTATTTATTTCTTTTGCTCAGTTTTCAATAAATATGTATAAATATTTGACTTGTTTGTTTTTATGAAACGTTTTGCATAACCAGCTTTCATATTCTGATTTGTAGCAGGAGACCTTTTATTATTTTATAGGTGTGCAGTCAGATATGTCAGTGGCCCCCAGCCCCCGGTACCGGTCCGTGAGTCGTTCGGTACCGCGCTGCGAGATTTGAGGCTCGGGTGTGAAATTTCTGGCTTTCAGAGTTTTTATCGTTAACTTGGTTTGCCTGGGTTTTATTGTGTCTTATTTTGAAATAAATATTTACGCGTTACCATAGTGACCAGAGAGCATTAAGGGGCAGAGAGGAGGACGTTACTCTCAATGTTGTTGGTGCATTTCAGGAGGACGCTGCTAATAACGTTACACAATTAGTACATCAGTACATCCACGTTTACTATTATATTTACAGAGACAGTTTTTGTCGTATTATTTTATTTTGTTGTATTTATCCGTGACACCTTAAAGGCCGTGACGATAGTGTCTGACATGAAACCGGCCCGTGGCTGCTGTGATATGTGACACACTGTCTGAGATTGGCACGATGACGTTTTCTTTATTAACATGACTGAAGTCCAGGCACTAACGTTTTGTACAATTCACTTGATAAGTGGAGGACAGTGGGTGGATAGACTGTACTGTAGTATTTTATGTGTGGACTGTGTACCACGATTGGACGAAGCCTGGCTGAGTCTGGAAAGTGAAGCCAGAGGCTCGAAGAGGCTTTTCGGGGACCTGGTGGTGTTTCAGCTGCGCCCCCCCACAGACAGCTGTTCAGAGACTCCTGCTTCACTCACGATCCTCTCAGTTCACAATAATTCAGCTGTTAGGTGCTGTGATTGTCAGCGTCACATCTCTCCACCCGTCAGATCCACAAAGTGCTGCACAAGCCAGTTACATTATCACACAGCAAAGACGATGGTTTTGTAACCTGGTAACAAGAGTTTGAGATAAGTTCACGAGCTCTTTCCTCATCTGGCAGCCATAGTTACCAGTTACCTTTATTTACTTCTTATATAATCTTACAATGTGGAGAATGGATCTTTGAAAGGCAGAATCTTCATTCGCTGCACTTATTATTTAAGTTAAATATAATCTCTCTGTACTTGACACGAGCTTTAAATAGACTGCCAGGCGAGCGTTAAATGATGCACTTAATCTTCAATTTAAGGCCAACTGTTGCCTTTTTCACTCGGTGCTTTGTTTGTTTCCTCGTGTGGACGACATTGAATACTTGTACACTCCACTGGAGCGCCGTCAGAATAATAGCATCGTGTGAATGTGAATGAATGTCAAAGATGTAATGAAGAATATTCTCAACGAGTCTAAATGATGACTGCAATTAACGCAGAACTGCAGCTTCCACACAGCCACGAGACACTAGAGCCGTTACAGCTAAAGAATTATAAAGTATGACATAATCAGCCAGAGGAATTCAGTGTGCGGATAGCTCTGAACATTAGTGAGGGAAGCTTCATTTTACCATGGAAATGTCTTCATATCAGACAACACTGCAGATCGCCCTCATCCTCACAATGTGACAGTGTCTCAGGTCAGGTTTTATCCTCAGATCATCTTTGCTGGGACAGAAAACATGTATATCAATGACACTGTTACAGGAAATATAAACCCAATCTGCAGCTACAAGCTGAAACTGATAAAAACTAAATGCATAAATACTTCCGTTCATTTTTAAAGTAGAATTTTTGATAGACGTCCTGTGAAGTATTTTGGGGGGGCAGAGTTTGATCCATATGCCCACCGATCAAATGTCACTCGTTAAAGAAGCAAATCTGCAGCAAAGTCTGAAACTTGCTGTAATTTCTAATGAGATCAGCTTCAGAGACATATCAGGCTGAGAGTCTTAGTAGACTTTCTCTTGATGTCACAGACAGTCAAAATGCTACTATAGAAGGAAGTAGGTCTCCTATTGGCTGCTTTTTTGGGTTCATGTCACTAAAACCTTACCTTGTTACAAACTGATCCTCACATGGGCAGGAGAATGAGAGCTGAACAAAGAAGAGCAATGCTTCTCACACACAGTAACATGTGACACACAGTGTGTCTGACGTCAGTGTAATTATAAACCGAGCGAGTCTTGGATCTGTTACAGCGGTTTCATTCTTCTCCTGCCGTCACCACAGAATCACCAGCTTCACTTTCAAACTGCCACAAAAGGTTTCATCACCTCTGAGAGAAGAAAAAAACACTATCTGGTGAAATGAATGAGTCTTATCTGTTATCAGTTATGTAGCACGTGCAGCAGGTTAGTGTGATTGAGGACAGACGTGGGAACAAGTGAAGAGTGTTGAGAAGGTGTAAGGAGTACTTTGAGGAGCTGAAGAGCATCGAAAATGAGAGAGAGAAGAGGATGGATGGAGGACAGTAAATCAGAAACCAGTCGTGGACCTCTGCATCCACAAAAGATCCACGATGTCCTTTCATTCCTGAATAAACCAGATTAATCAGAGCTGACCTGAAGAATCAATCCAGAGAGACCCAAACACGAACATCGACAGCAGCATGAGCTCGCTGCTTTATCTTACCATTAACAAGCGCTCTCCATGGGGCAGAGCAGAAATGTAGTAGTAAGAATGCACCAGCATAGACTCACTCTGCTTTCACGACACATTTATTGAACAAAAACAGAGAAGGATGCTGTTTACGTGCTGTCGGCATCAGCGAGGAACAAATAAGGACACATTTACACACAAATGAAGACCTGTGGTGATTTAGAGAGAAACAGAACGATCTGGACCGAGTCAGAAAGAATCCACTGACAACTAAACGAAATAAAAGCAATAAACCTTTCGGCCGCCCTGCACATAATGTGGAAATGTGCTTTCTGCATAAATCTTATTTGTGATGATCCAGAAAATTCAGAGGAATGATCACAGAGATCAACACTTTCAAATCATTCTGGCTGACGAGGAGAACAGTGGGCGTTTCCTCCTCACGTGTTTGATTACAGCTTCCTCTACAGCCCCGGCAGGTACGCTGCGGCAGGTACTTAGGAAACACTTCCACATGTCCCAAATATGGGATTCATAAAGTATTTCTTATCTCATCATCGTCTCATTTCAGTTTTTTCATCACTAGATGTGCACTAGCTTTATAAAGAGCATCATCATCTGGTCCCTGCTCAACCCTGAATAGGATAAAAGATGAAGAAGAGGAAAGGATGACTTCATCTTTTTACATCTTTCATCCAGTTTCTCCACATTTGATAAATTCTCTTTGAATTACTGCTAATATTTCACTTGCATTTGATTTGAAATATGTTTAATTTGTTCAGCAACTCTCTAAAAAAAATCCACACATCTGTGGGTGGAGTCAAAATGCTGTAGTTCTGTACAGTGTTATGCCACAAGGGGGCGCTATACTGACAACAGAAAACAAAATCACTACTATCGCACTAAGGTTAGAGACACAGTTCCACCTTGAAAGCTCAGGCTTGTTAGGATGACAGTAATGTGTAATACCAGCATAAAACTGTAAATCTCTCTCCTGCTTTCAGCTGCTCTGTCAATGTTCTGCAACCACCTGCAGTTTTGACAGCAGTGAACCAAAGTGTCCTTACCAAGAACGGGTGAATAATTCTAACAATCAACTTACAAAATATTATATTCGAGCAAAACAGCAATTTGAGTTTCACTCAATCTGTTTTCAGACTTCAGAACAAAGTCAGTTTGATTCCTCCTGAGATGTGTTTATGAAATGTTTGCAATAAACAAAGAGTCGAATTGAAGCCGTCTGCAGATCAATGTGGCGCCGGCTGACCCTTAAATGGGGTTTGATTAGAGGAGAGAAGGAAGTGATTGGAATGACTTTCGAAGAGCAGCAGAAGCAGCTCTGTGTTTTGCATTTAATGTGTTTCAATCGTTTACAAGTCGAAAGCTCTTTGAGTGCAATTAATCACAGGATTGCTTCACTCACAAGCTGCTTTTATTCATCGGTTTTCTAAATGAAGCCAGTTTGTTTATTTGCACGGCAATAAAGCGAACAAATGAAAGCAAGTGGATAAATATGTGTTTTTAATGATAAATTATCCTTCAAAGTAAAAGAAAGCCAATCAAAAGTGATCACAATGAACGTTCCAACAAAACCCTTCAATCAGCTATTTTCAAGCTTCCATACAGCAGACTCACAACTTTTTACTTATTCCCATTTGAAGTGTTGCCTTTGTGAGTCAACCAGTTGCTGTTGTTATGTTTACTTCATGTTTCTCTGTCTCCTCGTTCAGTCTGTAAAGCTGCCAAAGCAGACTTGGTCTTCCTGGTTGACGGTTCCTGGAGTATCGGAGATGAAAACTTCCTGAAGATCATCCGTTTCCTGTATAGCACCAGTGGAGCTCTGGACCGGATCGGCCCGGAAGGCACACAGGTACCACCGAGGGCGGCGTGTTAGCCTTTAGCAAGCAGTTCTCTGAGAGCTTTGGCGTGTGTTGCTTCTGGTAGCTCTCAGCGCCGTGCTTTGACTGACAGGTTGTTGACAGACATGCCACAGAAATACCAGAAAAACAATGACTTGATGGGAAAATGTGCACTTTGCCCGAGGCACAGCAGGCTCCTCGTCCTCACTGTGGATGGTGGAGGTTTGCCGCGCGCTGCTTTGGCAGCACAATGAAAGAGATCATCAGTGGCGGTGTCAGCGCTGACTGTGGGTGGGGCCATCTACAGCCCACTGCACATACCACACCTGTTTTATCAATGTGTGAAGACCAGCCTCACACTGTCATACAAACCCTGCGTGTTGTTGTTTTTATGGATAAATATCGTTTTATTATTCAAATATTAATTAACCAAAGTGTTGTCGCCTGGAATGACGCTGCAACGGTGCGACTGCGAGCCAGCGATGGTCATCGTTTGTTGGCTGATGAATCTGAAATCATAGAATAGAATTCAACTTGTCATTGCACATGTCACAAGTACGAGGCAACGAAATGCAGTTTGCAGAAAGTGCTTTAGCAAAAATATAGATATATTACAAAAACGTGTCTATTATTGGTATGAAGGTGTGTTATGAATATGCTATAAGTTTGTACAGGCTGTGAACAGGATATAAATATGAGGACTATACAGAAATATGAACTATACAAGTTCTAACAGTTGTAGAACTATAATTATTATTGTACAGAGTGATTGTCTGTACAGCAGCTACAGTGAGATATGTGGCTCCTACAGAGGTTCTATAAAGTGCTGGTGGCTCAGTCCCTGTTATTATTGTGTGTATGAGGGTCCAGTTGTTTGTTTTTGTCCAGTGTGTGTGTGTGTAGGTGGTTGTGGGTGTGTTTAGTCCATGAGTTTAACGCGGGTCAGATGTCAGGAGGCCGAGGAGTCTGACAGCTGTAGGGAAGAATCATCTCAGCAGGCTTGAGGTCAGGTGACTGTTCGTACGTCAGAGAGCTTTTACGTAAACGTATCCAACAACTATCCAAGTAAGTTCACACAGTGTGGAGATAAACAGCAGTGACCCCAGCAAAGCTGCTTCCCTCTCCATCACTGCTCCTCCACCCTCCGCACATGCAGGGACCGTCCTCTCACCTGTCTCACGAAGAAACCACAGCTGGATTCATCAGTGTCACATTGCAAATGTGACACTGATGAATCCAGCTGTCCAACTTAAAGACCGCGCGCTATGAATTTTCTTCTTACCAGATCACATTTGATTTATCTTGAGTCATATCTTCACTATTGTGGGACGTGGCAGGAATAAGACTACCACGTGCACAGAGCGGCCTCCTGGGTAATTCAATTGTAAAAAATCTTTAATCTTAAAGATTTGATTTCTCGTGGTTGTTTCTTTGGCCTCGCTCGGACCTCTTCATCTAAATGAGTTTCCCCGTCATCTGTAGGAGCGTCTGATGCACCGTAGATGCAAAGAAAAGGGAAACTTTCCAGGACAAACTAGAGAAAGAGAACAAACTGTTTACATACAGCAGTTTTCTCCCAGTTGAGCTAAACCTCTTTTTCACTCCTGTGTTCAGAGTCTCGGTGTAGCGAATCAGCACCAGCGCCAAGTTTCCTGTAAGCTGCTCTCATTTAGATTTTTTGTTATTTACAAATAAAGAATGTTCCTGAGTGGTCTCCCAGGTGGCCACAGCCCACTTCACTCATGAAACAGCTCATCTGCACGCTCTGTGTTACAGCTGCTCACGTGTCTGTCAGTGCTCCTCTTTCCCCCCCGTTCAGCTCCGTTCAGTCACAGTGGCATCAAGTATCGGCTCAGTTTGTCTGAGCTTTAGAGAACATTGTACATACTGTCTTTAAATGCTGTGATATACTGTAGAACAAGCGTGTATGTGACAAAGTAAACAAAGCAGAAGATAAATATGAACGTCAGCATGATTTTATGAAGCAGTCTAAACTGAACAACAACCTGGATGTCGATCAAAGTAACTGAAAAAATCAAATCTGCCCTAAAGAGGGTTAAACAGGCTCTCACTAGCAGCTCAAGCACACTGCCAGACTGATCCACTGGTGCTGGCCAAGAGCTCGCTGAGTGCTCCACCCAACTCACTGATTCCTGTACCTGAGGCAGCGAGCAGCAGCACACAGCCACCCACAGCAGGTTCAAGCAGGAACAGATGGAGAAGGAATACAAACGTTTTGAGTTCAAACAAACAAAAAATAATTGCTTAAAAATATATAGCGTGGGGTTAATGTACCTCACTGTTTTAAATCATCCCATCTTACACAGCCTGACTCTTTGCCCGCTGCAGGCGTATCACCCGCCCGTATTATCTCGTACTTTATTATTGAAAACAAAACTCTATCCTCCATTTTTCATAGTTTTTAAATGTAATAATTCTTAAAGACCTGTCCAGTAATAACCTGACTCGTTAGGAATGATTTTGACGGGAGGATCGAGGCTCTCGTTGCAGCGGTGTAACCCTCCTCCGTCTCCATCCTGGGCATCATTATCCTTCTCTGCTCTTTGTGGTCGTTGCAGTCGCTCTGTACCAGCCCGGGCTGTGATGCTGATCACGTGTAGTGATGCTGAATCTGGTTTCAAATAGAATCACGGTTGTATAAAAGTAGTACAAACATGATGTTCACTTTCTAAAGGATGACCCCATTCGAGTCTAAAAGGAGGATTCATGGAGATCAGCTTTTCTGTATTCTGTGACGGTGCTTCTTCTCGTAGTCTCCTCCTAACCCTCGTCTCCTTCACCTAACAGTGGCCTACTTCCTCTTTTGGTTTATTAGCTACGTTCATGTGTTTTGTGACAGGTGGCTATTGCCCAGTTCAGCGACGATGCCCGGACAGAGTTTAAGCTGAACTCCTACAGTGACAAGGAGGGTCTGCTGGACGCCATCAACAAGATCTCCTACAAAGGAGGAAACACTAAGACAGGTGAGGACGCGCACAGCATGCAGGTTGCTGCTTTTCTGTGAAAGCACTGCGTATGAGTCACTGACGCTGGACGAGCGTGCTGCTGGAGTCTGCTAGAGTTTCAGGATGACAGATGTTGGCGTGCGTGCTTGAAGCCGGTGCGATACAGTGTACGAATGTATACAAGCTGTGCGACTGTGACAGATCCAATCCGTCTTTACCGCGGCAGAAATAATCTCTAAATCTGAGAAAGACGCCTGGTCGAGACAAATCCACAGTGTAACGTGCACACGCTCAAACACAACTCCCTCGTGACGTTATCAATGCTACTGAGCAGGAGGCGACCGCAAACAGAAAATTAAATCACTGTGGAAAAGTGTGTTGTCCTCTCGGCTCTGTGGCAACATGCGTGTGTGCAAGTCGAGCGTGTTCATGCATAGTCTTATTCATGGATGTGTGTGTGTGCGATGAGAGGAAGTCTGCAGGGAAGCAGTGAGAGTCATTAATCGCTGTTTACAAAGCAGCGCGGGCGGTTTCTCCTACAGGGATGAGACTGAGGAGAATAGATTTGTAACAGCGTCACCGGTGGGGAGGAATTCTCCCACTGCTGATGCGTTGCTGTAAAACACTAATCCTCCGTTTCTCACAGGAAGCAACAGTTTCTGGGATCGCCGCGTTGCAATTAGCAATGTGCTTTCTGTTGTTTCCAGAGGCCTAGAAAACGTCTGATCTCTGGATGTACTAACGGCCGTGCAGCAGCCTCACATCCAGGCAGGTGCTCATGGATTTGTTAATGACTCAGTCAAGCTGTGGTTTAAGGTGTGGGTCTGAGTAAATATACAGAAAAGAGACAAAAGAGGCTCAGTAGATGATCATTATATGACTTTATGGGGTTTTTCCATTTATGCACTAAAGACATAAAGTGCACTAGTTCCAGAGTTTCCTGATTCTTAAGCAACATGAAGACGCGGCGCCGGGAAACGTCATGACCAAACACCAAAGAAGAAGACACAAGTCAAGAAACAGCTTATAATCACAATATATAACAAAAATAGACATAATAATACTACTAAAAATATAGTCATCTTCATCATTGTTCATTATGTTGGCCGTTGCTTTGTTAATTCTGCAAAATGAAATGAATATTAAAGCCTATGAAACAAATATTAAGCAGTGGAAAAACCACATGAGCCTGTATGAGCACATTTATAAGGCATGAAAAGAACAGAAACATTCAAATAAACATCTAAATATTAATATGTGATGGTAACTGTTGGTAGTAATGTGTAAAATTTGATCATAGTTGAAGAGTGTGAGTAAGTCGGGGGTCCCGGGTGTCTGGGGGGTGTCTGAGCCTGCAGCGCAGTGGCTCTGCAGAGTGGGGGGGGGCAGCCTTAGATGTTGAGCTGGTCCTCCAGCTGCTGCAGAAACATGAATTCTCTTCACACATTCAGTGAAACTTGTGATGTGATTTCCCTGGTGGGACGCTCTGATGCAACACTCTCTGATGTCCTGTACATCAGCAGGGCATGCATCAATAATCGTGTCCTTTCATCACGATTAATGCTACAGTTTGGAGTCAGATCTTCATCCTGCACTGATGAATAATTAGCATGAAATTTGAAATTAACTGATCGTGTCAAGTTTGTCGTACAAACCCTTGCGCTTCCTTTCTTTCATGTTTTTAATAGTTAACTCTGTAAACGGGGATCCTCTGAAGCTGATGGTGCTGCAGGATTTTCTGACTTCCTCTCAGAATAATGTCTGCAGCTGAAAATTGATTAATTTTGATTTCCCATCACTGCCAAGTCCGCTGTGACAGACCTGCAGCTCCGCTAATGACTTTTTTAACCAGAACAGATGGTGTGAAGTCAAATCAGCATAATAAAAAAATCCTCTGGTAATAGACATGTTGTTTCAAATAACTCGTCTGCTGCCGTTTCTCAACTACTGAGAATACGAAGCTAAAAAATTGCTGTAAAAGTAGAATATTTGGAGTTATTGGAGATGGTTGCTCTGTCTGCTCACTCAGGTCGAGCCATCCAGCACGTGAAGAAAAACATCTTCACAGAGGAGGCGGGAGCGAGGAGAGGAATCCCCAAAGTCCTCGTGGTGCTCACTGACGGTCGATCTCAGGATGACGTCAACAAAGTCTCCAAAGAGATGCAGATGGAAGGTCAGTTGTTTCTGTGTGAAGCTCTGAAGAAGGCCTAGAGCTGCGGTCTGTGTTACTGGAAGGCCAAACTTCATCTGCTCCTCCAGTTTTCCTGCAGTTGGAGACATGGATCTTTCTCTCTCTGAATTCCCATCAAAGGTTACATCGTGTTTGCCATTGGCTTCGCTGATGCTGACTACGGGGAGCTGGTGAGCATCGCCAGTAAACCCAGTGACAGGCACGTCTTCTTTGTGGATGACCTGGACGCCTTCAAGAAGATTGAAGAGAAGCTGGTGACCTTTGTGTGTGAAGCTGCAACTGCCAGTGAGTCCCTGACCTGACGTTAGAGCTAAATGTAATCCTGAAGAGATCCCTGCACTGGACATTATAGAGTAAATTATACAACATGTGGTGCTTTTTCCGTACATTAATAGAAATGGTTGAATGTGGTGGTTTTTAAATATTTGTCATCAGACTCACTTTTTGCCTTTCCCAGCGTGTCCGGCTGTACCGATGAGTGGCAGCACGATGCCAGGTAAGAGCTGGAGCGCTACTGCAGCCAGCCTGCTGTGTCCACGTGTCCACGTGTCCATGTGTCCACGTGTCTCAGTTATGAGTGCTTACAGAATAACTTCAAATAGGAAACAGAATATAAATCAAGTGTGAGCTGTGGCTTTAATGTGTTTGGATGAACACAATAATGTTAAAGCTCTAACCCTTCATTTCAAACAGTATGGAGAGCCAACACTGCCAACACATGTACAAACAAATAACTTAAACAACTGAGAATGTTCTTCATCAAAATGTCATTAATCATCAACATATCATTCTTTTTTTTATTATATTTAACTTTTCAGAATAAGCTGTTGCTCTGTTTTATTTCTTCTGTATTTTTTCTTTTCGTTTTAATACATTTTAGTTATTTGTTTTATTTTAATAGCATAATTTACATATCCTCTTTTTGTGTGTTTTGAATAAATGCAAAATCAAATTAAATGGTATCTGTTTATCTGACATGAATAAATAGATTTCTATTGGTTTTTGCTGCATTTATGTTCATTAAAAATGCAGCAATACATTTGCTGAATATGAGTAAGGGCCAGTATTTAACAGATGGTGTTTACTGTTGACAGAGACATCTGTGGTATCACATCAATATCTTGCTGGGCGAATTGAAGCTCTGAAAGACAGAACAGGGCAGATATGTTTTATAATGAAGAGCTCTGACAAACAGCAACAACAGCTGAATAAAAGATATTAAGCTATTTGTTATTCAAACATCATCATCAGCCCCAGATTTCACAGTTGGCACATGTTTGTATTATATTATATTATTGAGTCACTTTGTTATTTCCTTGTAATTATTTTTATTTTTGGCAGTTTTGGCCCTCTATACTGGTGAAAACTGGTATGTTTAAAATGATTGGCTGAATTAAATATCTTGTATCCTGCTGTCATGTCTTGTATGTCTGGACTGCTTTTTCTGCAGCTCTATATTTCTTTACTTACAAATGTACAAATACTTCCTGAGCTTTTTTGCTGTTTTTCTGCTTGTTGCAACTTGTTGAGAACTCATTGAAATGGTTACAACAGGTGATAATTGCTCCTTGTGTCATCAGGCTTTCGCATGATGGAGCTGTTCGGGCTCGTGGAGAATCGGTACAGCAGCATGTCTGGCGTTTCCATGGTACCCGGCACCTTTAACACGTTCCCCTGTTTCCACCTGCACAGCGACGCGCTGCTGGCACAGCCAACCAGGTACACAGGACACAGTCTCCACGCTCATAAAAATAGCACCTTATTTATTGGAAGCTTCACTGCTGCACCTTGATGGAAAAGACATCATAGCATGTTTTTCAAAGACAGATGAAAGTGCAGCAAATAGCTTCTGGAAGGAGAAGCAAGCTTTGATTTCACCAGCTGAGTATCAGCATCCAGAGCCCATAACCCTCACTGTTTGACCTAAAAGAGACATCACCAATGAGGACGTTTACCCGGCTCTGATGTTTTCACCCTGGCTCACAGGTACATCCATCCTGAGGGGCTGCCTTCTGACTACACCATCACCCTGCTGTTCAGGCTGCTGGCCGACACTCCCGAGGAGCCTTTTGCGCTCTGGGAGATCCTCAACAAGAACAACGAACCTCTAGTGGGCGTCATCCTGGACAGTGAGCTGAGACGTGTTTATTTGTTTCCACTTTATTTCTAGACTCAAACCTACCAAAGTAAATCAGTGAACACAGCATATTTGCCTGATGTTAATGAAAAGGAGAGTCGGGTGCAGTGCAAGCTGCTGTTCTACTTCTGTTAAACTCGAGTTAAAATTCTGAACAAGATTGTTGCTTCTTATAAATGTTGTGTTTTATTTGTTGATTTATGTTTTTTTAATTCTCATGTTTCTTCCTGCAGATGGAGGAAAAACTCTGACGTTTTTTAACAATGACTTTAAAGGAGAGTTTCAGACGGTCACCTTCGAGGGGCCGGAAATAAAGAAGCTCTTCTTTGGAAACTTCCACAAGGTCAGAATCACACCCGACCTCCGCTGTCTGTTTGCCTGACACATGGATGATTGATCGTCTGCTGACAGGCTAGAGAATAATTTGAACTTTAACCCTTAAATATTTACCAAGATGATGTGTGACATAGTTGTTGTACAGTCAGCAGAAATCATACAAGCAAAATATTTTATAATTAATATAAAAAACACAGTGAAGACCAGTGGAAGCTGGGACAATGTCTGTCTGTCCTGCACATTAACATACAGTCTGTGGCCTGATGGAAGCTCCTTTGATAGCTAAATACAGCTGCGTGCAGGTGTGGGAGGTCCTGCAGGCTGCAATCACACGTTGAAGGTAAACCGAACCCGCTGACAAAGGAACATGTAAAAACAAAGCAGATGCAAGAAATAGTTTGTGATGCGTCCAAGAGGGAAAACGTGTTGGTGGAAGTGTTTGAAGCAATACAGGTCCGGTAATATTTTACTGAGATTTTAAGTAAGTAAAGTTTATTTATTAAGCGCTTTTCATAGACAGGCAGTCACAGAGCGCTGAGCATGAAGGGTGAAATAAACAGGTTAAGTGATAAAATGGAAAATATAAGCAATAGAAAGGGTTAAATGTTTAAAAGCGTTGATCAACTGAAGGCTTGTTTGAACAGAAAAGGTTTTATCTGCTTTCTAAAGGATTCCACAGAGTCAACCAATCGCAGCTGTGGTGGTAAACTGGTCCACAGACTGAAAGGCTCCGCCCCCTTTGCTCCAACAAACTCTGAGCCTGTGAGCAGAGGCAACGAGCTGCTGTGTATTTTATGAGGAGTTTGGATTAATAATCTGGGGGCCTGGTCATCTACCGCTCTGTATGTTAATCTACTGGGGGCCAGTGTACTTGCTAGAAGATGTTAGTAGCCTGGCTGTAGTTTGGAGGTGATGATTGTAGGTGGTCAAACATGCTGAGAAACTTTCCCTTCTTTAAGTCTTATTGGTGTTCTTATGCAGTGGATTGATTAAAATTATATAGATGTTTTTCCTCTGGTTTGTTGACTGACAGCTTCACAGGTTTCTATTGACAAGCTCCGGTCCTTTCCCTCCTTCCCTCCCTGCACTCGTTCCTCTGCCACGTGAGGCCCTGTCGAGCAGTGTGACAGTAGTGGAAGTCCTGACAGGCGTACTGTAGTCGAGTCATGCCCCGAGCCTGAACCTGCTTGCAGTCGTGTTGTGTTTTTGTCGGCGTGTCAGAGCCGAGGGACGCTGACTGATCTGCTGTCTGCGCGCTGTCAGCAGAGCTTATCCTCCTTACCTTTTCACCCTTTGTTCTGCTTGCTCTGCATGTGTGTGCGCGTCTGCCTCTGCATACATTTTTAAATCCTAGACCAGCATCTGCAGCGCCTACCTGACAAGTCTGTGTGACATTTGTATAGGACTCTGTGATTATGGATCAGAGTTTGGCAATTATCCTGCTTTTAAGTACTTTGAAGATTAAAAAAGTCTCCTGTAAGTTCTCAAGTTCACTTTTTCTTAAACTTTTTCTCAGTTATTTGACAAACGCAGGATGTGATGTGTTGTAGTGGCTAAAAAACGGACATTTGGAAACATGACTGAACATCTACACTGCACACACATGTGGGCATCCACAGCTTTAAACCTGGTTTACATGTTCCAAAAAAAAGGTTTTAGGTTCTATCTCTTTAAGACCGCCCACTTAAAGATCCCTTTCTTCTGATTGGCTGCCCTCACTGGTTTCCTGTTCTTGAACATCTGGATGTTAGTGACATCATCATGCAGTATGAAGAAAGGTCTGCAGTTGCTCTTGTTTCATCATCATCATTATTATTATCATTATTATTATTAGGAAGTTAGGGATGTGTAGAAATTCTAGTCCCGTCCTTCCAAATATAAAACGCATGTTAGCTTCAGTGCAACACGTTCAGCTCTTCAGCTGCGGTGACTTCCTTCTCACTTTCTCGCTGTATTAACATTAAATTTAATGTTTAATTCCAAATGCAACACAACATTAACCAAAGTAGACATCAAACTGTCAAAGAACCGCAGATTGATTTCTGCAGTGGAAATGAATCTGACTTTTGCAGGCATTAGTAATCTGAATTATTATAATCATTTTTTTCAACCCATAATTTTGCAGACTATAATTATCTGAGGATGCAAAGCAGCCAGAAAAGTATTTCATCCAACATTAAGATCCCACCTAAAAGTAAAATAGTGTGTTTATCTCCTGTGATCCAGGTTATTACAGGAGCTTTGAAGGCTTCACAAACGTTCGTCTCCAGCTGTCGGAGAAAATAGAAACATTTCTTCATCCGTGCGTACGTGTCACAATTTGATGCAGGCATATAGAAACTCAAATTACAGAGCAGACTTTTTGGGTTTACAGCCTGTTGTCTTTATAGCAGCATGCGTATGTTTAGCATTTTCAGTGTTCGCTCTGCCAGGATAAACATAGACCCTTTTAACAGTTTAATTTGCACTTTTCAAAAGTAGCGAAACACGAACAAACAACTCGGATGGTCCAAAAACAGCTTCTCTGTAAACCGCATCACTTTCACCAACGCACAACAGTGCACTTACAGACGGAGGTCAGTGGGGTTTCAAGGTGTGTTAGTGTGTGTGCATTTGTGTGTACTGCTGCTGTGAAACCAGCAGAGTCGCTGACGGCAGCCTGGTGGTCTGCTGCGATATTGGGAGAGGAGGGGTAATGGTGTCGAGGAGCCACTCGGAGGAGACGGGCGGCGTTTTATCCGCCTCGCAGTTCAGCTCTCGACTGTCCGTGATGGTGACAGTAATACCTGTGTGTGTGTGTGTGTGTGTGTGTGTGTGTGTGTGTGTGTGTGATTATAAATAGTGATGTCACTCAGTGAGATAATCTTAGTCTCAGTCTACTCTGCTGGTTTGTGTCCCAGTTCCAGCTCAGGCTGTGCAGCTGCTGTAACACCGTCCTGTGGGAACAGTGCAATGTGCTCCCTGTGGGGTGTTTTTCCTTTAACATTAAATTAATTGGATGTGGCTCATTGCATTATTTTATTCCAGCCAAATATCCTTCAGTTCTTTTTTAACCTTATTAAAACAGTTTATTAGCTGCTGTGTGTTTTAATGCACATTTAAATGCAATTTAATAATAATAATAATTTAATTATATAAGTGCTGGAAACAGTTCAAATATAGTTGTACTCTGTGATATTCTGTTCCTGTTCTGTGGGGCTTTTTAGCCTCCCTTGGTGAAGGTGCAAAGGTCAAAAATCCTCTTTGACAGAAAGAAAACGGCTGAAAGAGGACAGGCCTGTGCCTGGACTGGTGACTGAGAGGAAGGAGAAAAGAAAAGACCATAAATAAGTTCACATGTGAAGTAAGAGAGAAGTCGTGCGAGGTCTCCCAGCAGTCTGAGCTGTAATGTTAAATCCTTTGAGCTGTTCTTGTGTGTTTAATGTTTGTGCACTGTTGGTGCTCGGTGTTATTCAGCTGTTCCTGTGTCAGTGTGTGAGCACCGCACTGACAAACATGAAGAACAGCTCGGTCATGTTACGGCTTCACAGGAAGAGGGCGCTGTTCTCCTACTTTCTGCAGGCCGAGACGTCTGCAGGGCTTCTAAATGCTGCTGATGTTTGTGAGGAGTCATAATCATCACAGATATTAATATTAATTGCGTCTTTATTAACAGCATTTATCACTTGTTTTGCATTCATGTTTGGACCTCTAAAACTTTAAACGAGTGGCTGTATCTCTTCCTTCTCTGCAGCTTCACCTCGCCATCAGTAAGACGAGCGCCAAAGTGTTCATTGACTGCAAGATGGTGTCTGAGAAGACCGTCAACGCAGCAGGAAACATCAGCACTGATGGGCTGGAGGTTCTCGGTAGGATGGTCCGCTCCCGAGGGAACAAGGACAACTCTGCACCGGTGAGAGCAGCACGCACACAAATACTGTGAACTGCAAAGGAAGCTGCTGGTTTGAGCCCCTGCTCCCTCTAGTCTGCATGTTGAAGTGTCCTCGGGCAAAATACCGAACCCCTGATGAGTCCATGAAATAGTGAGTGTTGGAAACACTTTGAGTGCTCAAATATAAGAACCAGTCCACACATCGTGGACGTTAGTCTGCTATAAAAATGAAATATCAAAATGTTTCTGCGTGTTTCGGCCTTTTATGTGAGCCCAGAATAAATGTCAGAGTAAATCTCATTCAGTTACATTTAAGGACCCTGCAGTAAGTCAGAGAAAACCCCAAACAATCAGATGACTCCCTGTGAGCAGCACTTGGTGACAGCTGGAAGGACGAACTCCCTTTAAACAGGAAGAAACCTCCAGCTGAACCCGGCTCACAATGGGGCAGACAAAGATGCACTGTGGGAGCAAACCAGAGAATAAAATTCATTACTAATGGTTAAATGCATCTGAACTGTTGTGACAAAACAAACATTTAGCTGCTGAAAAAGTAGCAAACGAAAACTGTTGTGAGCCAGCCTCATATCGCCTTTGGGCTTTTGGAGCCTTGACCTGACTTTTAAAAAGTTATTGGAAATAAAGCTCTATGCTGCTAAAAAATTACAAGAAAAATAGATATTTGCAAAATTCTGCCTAAATATGTATTTTACCTGGTTAATGTGTGGCGGGCAGGGCGTGGTCTGCAGCGCCACTGCAGGGGAGGAGGACGCACCTGAGCAGCACCCACAATCACGCCTCGCCGCCTTAACGTCTGTGCCATCTATGCCGTTGTTGTTGTTGGTGTGTGTCGGGCTGTGGGCTGAAACGCTACAGCCGGCTGTGTGCGTACAGCAACCGTGTGAGAAAAGTGGTCAATAAAGAGATGCTGTAAAGCGCGTTCATGCAAACATCGTGGGGTCTGCTGTGACATGTTTACAACGGGACTTCTGCTCCTGAACCTCTGCGCACAGCGTCTGCAGGTCGGGGCTTTCATCCTTACGCAGGACTGTAAGCTGTCGTCTGTGAGGCGTGTTTGTTTTAACACAGTTCACAGTGGAGCTGCTGACATAATGTGGATCCGAAGATCCATAACTGACCTACCTGGGGTTGAAAGTCTCCATAAATGCAGGCATTTAGGCGGGGACACCGGCTTCCACGAGTGTGACGCTTAAAAAATAGTTTTATTTTTATTTCAGTATCGCAATTTATTTTCCCAAACCACGCGGAGCCGCAGTATAAGCACTAAAGAGCCGCAGGCTGCCAACCCCTGGAACAGGCCTACACCCGGGGACAGAGTATGGGTGCACGTCATGCCCTCCTCAGACCCAAATCCACCACTGTCAGCCTTCCTGTGGTTTACTGCACATGTGATACATGAATTCTAACACTCGGGGTTTCATCACATGCGTGCTGCACTTTGTTCACTCTTTTTTTCTCCATCTTTCCTCGAGCAGTTGTATCAATGCAAACAAATCAATTTCCGGCCTCTCCTTCAGAAATAGCGGCGGCACAGAGGCCGTGTCTGATTGTTTGATCTCCCTTTGAAGAGAAAACGTGCAACGCCGACTTTGCTCCGAAGCTGCAAAACTCAAGCGTTTGTGTCAAATAAGCAGCGTAATTATTTACTTATTTATTTTATTTCCCCGCCAGGCACGGCCGTGTCAGCGCCCAAAACGAAGCAATCGAGTACGGATTTATACTGGTGTCAAAATGGCAGTGAGATAAGGCGCAGCTTTTCATTTTCACTCATGCAAAATTCCTTGTGCGTGCATTCAGACCCGCTATGATTCAGCAGCCAAACGCACAAAGAAGCCCTCGCACACACGACGCCAGGCGCTGCCACACACTCCCGCTCTCGCAGGCAGCTCTGCTCGCTCACCTCACTCTGACTTTTGGCAGTTTGGAGGGCGGAGCCCAACAACTTTGATTGACAGGTTCAGTTTTACACTCGTATTAAACTCAGCTTCATGGCATCGGCACAGCTGCTGTTTTGGATCGTACGTGTTTACAGTGAAGTTTGCAGAATGAAGCATCGGCAGGTTTTTGCAGGTAGCAGCAAACAACCATCACAAGATTACTTCTGTTCTTAGAAGATTAGAAAAAAGGACACTTTCTGGCCTCAAAGTTCAAACAGTTTTATGGATTTTGGCCTCCACGAGCGTTTAAATGTGTTCGACTCTGGTTTTTTAACTATTTCCCACAATCCAAGACAAGATGCAGACGCTGTGCTTTAAAGCCCGTGAATCGTAGGGTGGCCCTGACCAATGCTCTCATTTTACACCTCCAAATTCTCCACACTTAATTAGACAAGCAGAGAACAGGCATTTGAAAAGATTCAAAGGAAGGTGTAAACTGGGGTGATCTTCCCTTTCTTTATGGGTGCAATACAGGATTATGGTGAAAAGCCACACATGCTCAGCACCAAAATGAGTGATTTATTAGTGATTAGTTGCAGTGAGTCATCAGCAGCTTTTTATGTGCCAGGTAAAATAAAAATGCCTGCTGAGTCCCATCAGCTGATCATAATTAGCTTTTATTGATCCTCACTGACGTCCTGATCCAGCCGTGCTTTGAACTACCTGCAGTTCTCAGTGCGTCTCTGTTCAGTCATGTGTTTATCATTTGTGCCCCTGTGTGAGTTTGGCTGCTTGCAGACCCGTGTTAGCTGTTTGTGGTGCAGTGGTCACTGTCACTGTCGCCTCACATTGATAAGTCTGTGGGTTGGAATCAGCTTTATGTGGACCTGTGTGGGTTCTGTGGCAGGCCAGGGTCCTTCCACCCTATTAGTAGGTGTGTCTCTGTTTCTCTCTGTCATAGACACCTGGCAGCTGATTGGCTGTTGTTCATACCTGATGTGGATTTCATTCCTTTCTCTCCTTCTCTGCAGTTTCAGCTCCAGAACTTTGATATCGTCTGCAGCACCTCGTGGGCCAACAGAGACAAGTGCTGTGAACTTCCCAGTCTGGTGAGGTCAAAGTCTGAAGCAGTCTCGATGTTTGCTTGTTTAAAGCAGGAGGAGATGCCCTGGAAGCTCCTAAGTGCTCATTTACACACAGTTTATTAGCACTGCCTGCACCAAGGTGACAGTTTCAATCTATTTGAGACTGAGAGAGAGATTTTTCCATTACAGTAATTTTCTTGATAGCATTCGGGGTTAGAATGAGTCATGTTTGCTTCCATTTTCACTGTAAAACCATTGAAAGCAGTCGTTTAGACTTAAACTGCCTGCCTGGTTTTATTTGGATCTTTTCATGACACCAAACCAACACCAGAGTGTGTCGGGAAGCAGCTGCTCTCAGGCGTCTGTGGCTAACGTGTTCTGCACAGTCGTGCAGGCTGAGGTCTTTACTGCTGGGGCCGAAGGTTTCCAAGCAGAACGTAGTGAAGTAGCAGCATGACTGAACCTGACAGTCACTGACTGCTGTGTGCCACAGTGACTGTAGTCTGAAAATATCTGAAATTCACATCTGAGACGGAGAGCTTTGTCATATTTCCACCTTGTTTGGTTTGTTTTTTTTAATCACGATTCATGCCATTACATTTTCTTTGTTTTCTATTCTGTTATTATATTTATTTATTTGCTTTTGTTTTTTCTTTGTGTCATCCTCATCATGCTGTGGTCATCCAGAGGAAGGAGGTAGACTGCCCGGCCTTGCCTAAAGCCTGCACCTGCACCCAGGACAGCAAAGGCCCTCCAGGCCCTGCTGGACCACCAGTGAGACACACACACACACACACACACACACACACACACACACACACACACACACACACACTTTGGTTACTGGGCAAGTCTCACCTCTGCTGCATTGCATTTCATTGTCTGCTTGCTTACTTGAATGAAACATGGACAACGACCAAACGTGATCGCACATCTGCATCACAACAATGACACAAACATCATTTTTCCTGCACTTTGTCACCTCACATTTTACTCACATTACATGTTTCTTTGATATGGTGAAGAACAATCACCAAACGGGTAACTTTTTGTACCACTGCCAAAAGCACCATGACTCTAATATACCACCTGGTATTTAAAGAGTATGCAATTTCATTTCTCACCAGCAGAGAGCGACAGTGAGACTTTTTTGCCGACCTGTCATTATCCATATACTAAACACACACAAAATATGGAGGGCCAGGAGTGACAAAATGAATGCATTAAAAATGCCAATAAACAATGAAATACAAAAGTCAATAATTAAATAAAAATTTAAATAAATAAGTAATGTATTACATGTTTTAAATTAAATGACTGGACATTTAATTAATTATTGAAATATTTATTTAATAAATGAATTCCAATTTTAATTATTTAATGAAACATTTAATTCATTCAGTTTGTCACTCCTGGCCCTCCATAAAAGCCATTCATTCATGCAGTCACAAAAGTCTCGTCTGATCTGAGGTCATATTCAAATGGTCTTGCACCCCCTCCGCCTTGTGGAGGGTGGGGCAGAGCATTTGTGGCTCCCGGGAGAGGCTCACGTGCGCCGTGGTGTTTTTTTCCCCGGACGCGGTGAGTGGCGGCGAGCTCCGGAGAGGCCGGCAGCCCTCTCGAGCCATGGCAACCCGCCGAGTCACCCGCTGGAGCGATCCTCGTCTGGTGAAATACCACTACTCTTATCGTTTTTTCACTTCCCCGGTGAGGCGGGGAGGCGAGCCCCGAGCGGGCTCTCGCTTCTGGTGTCAAGCGCCCAAAAGTCCAATAACAGGACAAAACACCAACATCCTGTTTTATGTTCCGTTTACATTTCTTTAGTGGAATTCCTTTTTTTTTACTTTCACTTCCTGGCAGATTAAACCTTTTTTCTTGCACCATGACTCATCTGTCAGCTTTGTGGGTTATAAAGTCATCTGTCCTCACCTTCAAACCTCAGCAGCAAACCTGGTAATCGTGTGTTTCTAAGCACCTCCTGCTGTTTGTGTATCTAACAGGGAGGCCCAGGAATCAGAGGAGCCAGAGGAGAACGTGGAGAGCCAGGCCCTGTGGTGAGTTGTTGGTTTAGCCTATCAGAAACCACGGCTGTGTCCGATGGGCCCGCCTTCAGCACGTTGCTGAATAATATCAATAATATCAACAGATGTTATCAAGAAATCGCATTTATTCAGTTTCTCAGAGTAAACACACACATCCATCATGCTCGTGTTCATCCTCGTCCTAAAGAGACAGAGCCGATATAACTCACCCACGTCCCAACTATTCACACTCAGAAACACGCAGAATCATTTCTGATCAGTTTAATAACTTCAGCAATAGTTTATAGATTGAAAAGAATTAGGATGCAGAAAGCTGTATACATAAATTTACAAAAACACTTTTATAGATATTTTTTCAAAAGTTATTATTATTATTATTAAATCCCTAATTTAAACAGAGTTCAATCAAATCATTTTTTCCAGAAAGAGCTGTCTGCAGAAACAATAAATAAATACAATAGTAATGATGATAATAACATGAAACAAACGCACAGATAAATAAACATCAGGGAGGTCAATCAGTCGATTAAATTGGAAAATAAAAATAGCTTCTTTCCATATTTTCAGTAATTGTCGGGTTTACACACACGCGAGTTCTTGATGTGACCGCTCTCATGAGCTCCTCCCGTCACGGCGGAGCAATCGCCGAGCCACACAGCAGGCCATCTTTAGGCATTTCGCCCTCCAGTATTCTCTATGTGTAGAAAAATATGAAAGCTTCTAAGTGTCGACTCAGGTTTTATGCAGTTAAGACAACAAATGTATTAGTGAGTTAGTTTCAGAGCATAATTAATATATTCATGCAACTCCTCCCTCTGCGCTCCGCTGCACAGCCTACATGTTAAAGGTCATTTCCTGGTTGGGCTCTTGCTGTTTTGAGCCACGCTTGATGGCGTGCTCACTGTTGCTGTGCCTGATTGTGGTTTAGATACGACGATTCAGTTTCCTCGAACAGCCTCAGAGCTCCGGGCACGCCCACCTCTGCACAGTTAGTGTTTCATGCCTCGTGTTCCACTATCACAGCGCTGCTTTGTGACCTGCTCTAATTTGATGCTTTGTCAGATTCATCTCTTGCAGTGATGTCTTGCAGACTTTTAGCTTTTCTTTCAAAAGCAAAGGTGTTCAGTTTTCTGTCATTACAAAGTCAGAGGCATCATCGTTCGTGTTTATAGACACCTACATATCTGAGTTTTCTTCCGTTGCTTAAGAACCAGCTGCTGCTTGTACTAAGCTCACTTCCTTTCTGGCTCAACATGATTTTATCTGGGTGACTGCAGAGACGTCAGAGGACAGTTTTCTGCACTTTTTTTCATATTGCAGATTTAAACTTCTTGATTAGTTTTTATTAAAGTCACGCTGCTTCAGACAAACGCACTCACCTGTTTTTCGATGCTGTTCACAACGATCAGGTTTCCTCCCTTCTTCTCACAGTCTTCTTGGCTCTTCTGCAAAGCGGACACTATGATGTATTCATAATAACAGCTGCAGCCGACCTTCACCCATCCTGGAGGACAGCCGTTCCCTGAAAACATACCGACACCCTCTTACTCCAAACTCCTGTCACGTGTCTTTGCTCAGTTAAAATGGCTTTAAATGAACATTCTGAGTTCTGTGTGTTCCACATTTTAGGGAAAGTGTAAAACCTTTCTCAGTCGCGTTTGAGGTGTTGTTCACTTCAGTGATGTTTGTGAAAGAGCCTTAAAAAAGGAAATAAAATGTGAAACGCAGTAACTGCTTCAAACTGCAGATGAACACTGTTGTTTCAGTTACTGAGGGGAAAAAAAAGCTTTGTAACCTCTCTCAGTTGCGTTTCGCTCGGGTCGATCATCTGGGAATCCAAAATCAGGCCAACCATCAGTTATGTTTGGATTCTCGAAGTCTGAGAAGTCTGGACACGGAGAACCAAAGAAAACTTGTTATGAAATAATTGTTCTTCAGCCTGTGAACTCTGCTGTCACTGGCTGTGAGTTTGATTTTCCTCTCTTACCTGAGCATTGGCTCTTCAACTTGGTCATTTCCTCATTTAATTCATCCAATTTTATTTTGAGCTCGTCTCTCTGCAGGGTCACTGAGATATCTGCAGAGGAACGTGCTCATGTGAAACTTTAACAAACGTTTGTGTGTTTATTTTTTAAATTAACAGTTTGAAATCATTAAAAAGTTCAGCACTTCTCTGGGAACGATGAGAGCGTTGCTGTAATGTTCTCATCGTTCCCAGAACAGTTTGCTGGATGCTGAACACTGATCGTAAACAGCGCAGCACGTGTCGGCCCTCACAGCGGAGTCCTGTCAAAGTCAGCGTGAGCAGAAGAAACGTTCCCAGCACTGCAGCGATGACTCGAACGTCTCTTCTCTTCGCTGAATGTTTCTTTCGAGCACGTCGACCTGTAGAGATGAAAAGCGCAGTAACTATACTTCGTTCAGCACGCGGACTTTTAAATGAGCTGCTCTTCTCAGTACGAGGACAGATGTTTGCTGTATGACACATTTATTTATTTCATGTTTAAAATAAGACATCATCCATGTTTTATTTGCGTTTACTGCCAGGCCATGAGTGTACTTATTCATGCTTACTGGTTTTCTGTGACCCAGTCCTGGTGGCGTGGGCTTCAAGCTCTCCGATCTCCGCTTTGTTTTTCTCTCCACCGTCCGCTCGGACTCCTCTGCTGTATCTCACATGTTGGTTTCCTGTGGACATCTTGGGCGAAGTAAAAGTCTCGTCCGTCTGCTTCTGTCTTTGTCACGCAGCTGTTTTTAGAGACGAGCATGAAGGAAGTAACAGCTACCCACAAACACAACCGCACACACAAACACTCTAATAAATGCTGTTACAGCCACTCTCTCTCTCTCTGTGAGTTAAAGTGTAGGATCTAAGAAATCATTGACGTATCACTTCCGATCCTCTGACCTCAGGCAGGTGTCCACTCGGACACTAATGACAGAGAGGTTGTGTTTGTCACAGAAACATGCAGCTGTGAGTCATGAAACTCTTTTTGACTTTGTTAAAATGGTTACTTTTGGTATTTTGGTGAATAAAAACGAGTGAAGGTCTGTTCACCAGAGTTCATCAGAGTCTTAAAGCACATCTGTGTTGAACGTCTATCAGATAAAGATCCAGATTTCCCCCGCTCACTGTGAAAACATGAGCACCACACCGCGCTTGCATTTCAGTCGTATGTAAAAATCTTTTGTTATGAAAATTCTGTGCGAGCAGCTTTTCAGTCATGCAAAACGTCTTTCAGGAGAGAGAAGTTATAAAATACTGTTTCATTTATGAAAAGTATTGTTTTTTCATAAATGAAACAATGTTTCAAAAATATTGAAACATTGTTTCTCTTAGCTCGCTCCTATCGTTACTCTTCCCTCCAGATACCAGAGAGCACTCTGTCTCTTTAATTATGTAAAATGTAGAAGTAGAATGATGTCATTTGGTGCACATAGAGGTGTTTATGAGGGTTAAGGAGTTAGTTATTTGGTGGTTACATGTTTTGATATTTACATGTTTACTTAACTGAATGTTTACACTGTTACATTCAAACAGTTATAAGTTAGTGATTATAACACTTATACAGTTATAAGTGATTCCACCTGGTTGGTTTTCCTGCATTTATCCGAGTGCAAGATTTCCTGGCTTCTGAGTTGCCAGTGAAGTATCACGATGGCTGCACACAGGAAGTGCTCTTTTTTATGTTGAGCTGTGCAGCGAGTAAAGGTGCTGCTAAGAAACTTATCAGTCTCCATCTTGCTGTTTCTAATAGTGTAGAGAGATTCTGAACCACGTGGATAAAAGTAGTAGTTCCTGGTCTTGAGGCTTCCATGGAAACAGAAGAACTTAAGCAGAGACCTAAAGGCCAAGTATCAGAAAACCCCCCACGGAGCAGGACACGTGCTCCTCCATCCTCTCTTTAAAAGATCAGATCTGATTGTTTTCTCTCTGTCTTGAGTTTTGTAGTCTAACTTTTGTACTATATGGAAATTGGTAGAGCGGGTCATTTTGTGTTTGCTATGTGTTGGTGTTAGTCTGTAATATAAGGCAGTAAACAGGAACAGGAGTCTGGGCTTCCTTAAAGGAGCTGTAATTGCACAATGTAACTAAAGGTTCCAACACTAGGTGGCAGTGTTTTATCAGAAGATATCAGCGTCGTTGTGCCAGCATTGAGAAACGGTCTGCCCTGTGAGTGTGGTGCTTAGTGCTGACGGATTTGTGTTCAGGCTTCCTGTCTGAGGCCTTTCTGTGTCGTTTGTCGTTCCACAGGCCAAACACACACTCGCTAAGCTGTGATCCTAAACGGGCCCTAGGTGAGCCTGCCTGTGTTGGTCCTGAGCCTGTGTGGGGGGCACCCTGCCTCACCCCGTAACAGCTGTAGTCAGCAGATTACATCATCTGTTGATGTTTGTGGTCTTTCTAACCCACTGTAATCCACAGAGGTGGAAAGCAGCTCCCCACACCTCTCCACTGTGTTTATTCCACTCTCTGAAGTCATAGTGAGTGGACACTGCTTCACTGATCAGGTCTACATTATCAGCGGTCCCCAACCCCCGGGCCACAGACTGGTACCAGTCCGTGAGTCGTTTGGTACTGGGCTGCGCTGAGGCTTCGATGTGAAATTCATGGTTTTCGGGGTTATATCAATTTTTAGCTTTTTATTTTAAATCATTTTTATCATTAACTTGGTTTCCCCGGGTCTCTTCCTGTGTGTTATGATTAAATCTTATTGTTTTGGCACCAGTACTGGTTTTATTTTGTTGCATTTATCCGTGACACCTTATAGTCCGCTCCGTGAAAATATTGTCAGACATAAACTGATCCATGGTGCAAAAAAGGTTGGGGGCCGCTGACTTAGAAGACATGAACATGATTTATTGAGATACGATGGAGATTAGAGTCCGATGACCTCGTCATGGCAGGACAGCTTCTCAGCGGTGGGAGGATTTAGGAAAGGACCTCCCTGTGTGAGGTGGAGATGGGAGGAGGCGGGGTGCATGAAAGAGAGTCCGAGAGGGAAATAATGGAGAGCACAGATTTACACCACGCGAAGCAGAGTTTGATCGGCTCCATGAAAGATGATTGGACTAGAGTAATGATGTCATTACTGAGGTTGACAGCGTGATGGGAAATCTAAAAACTATTTTAATTTACAGTTCGTGCCTTCAGAGGCCAACTATTAAGCCAGTGTAATGTGTATGTGCTAGCATGTAACCTGAACCACCACATGCCGCAGTGTGCACAGCATAAACTCATTTTCACTGCCAGTGACTAAAATACATAAAGCTCAGCACTGCAAAGTTATTGGACAGTGCAAAACACACTCAACAGTTAACATGTACAGTAATAGTTAATGAACTAAAATGCAACAAAAAGACAGAACAATGCAAATCACAATAAAAGAATAGAAACTGGCATAAACTGACAATGTTGACTGAAAACTGACCACCAGAGGAGACGCGTGTTTTTTCTGGTTGATTAGACTTTCACACATTGTTTTGTGTATTTTAATCCTTTTTAAGTAGAGAAGAAAAAATGCCACTGCATCCAGATTCAGAGGAAATATGGAATGAGCTCAAGTTCTTATGTGAACAGTTACAGTGTCGGTCCTCTCGCCTCTGAACGCCACCATCGCGTATTTTAAATCTAACAAATCAGGTGTGATTGAAGTTCAGACTTTCAGCTTTAATTCAAGGAGTTTAATAAATGTATGAAACAGTTTAGGACTCACTGACAGTTTTTACATAATCCCTGATTATTAAAGTTCTGTGGTTTTCAGTCTGGGATTTCACAACAACAGACTTTTGTTGACTTTTCAGTAAAACATAAAGGTCAGAACACCGTTATGTCAGTTTTACCTTCACACAGCTGTACTGGGACTTCAGTTTCTCTATTAAAATCCTTGGTAAGGTTTAAATCTGATACAGTGCAGTTACATGTTACACATGTCAGACTGAGAGGTGACCAGCAAACTCTCAGTAGATGTCTCTCTCACAGATCCAGTGTTTCGATCCAGTGTTGGTGTAGTTCCATGTTCCTTGTAGATCCATAAATACTTTGAAGTCATCCTTAGGATCTAATTTTGCACCTGGATTCCAGCCTCTGTTGAACAAGTACAATGTTGTTACAGGTAAAACCCTGAAAACACCACAGAGTATTTTGCAGAGAGCTCTTAGCAGTGCTTAGAAGCCCACATCAACATATTCTCCTGCTGAACTATTTAACTTCCATTTGTCTTCCCAGTATTCCCATTATTACCAGTTATGCAGTTTTCACACATGAACTGCAGCTCTGAACATTTCTATGCAAAATGATGCAGGACACATGAGAACCATATACTGTAAATAAAAGATGGACGTTGCCACTGTGACATCACCCGTTAGTTACAAAGCCGTGTTTTTAAAGCCTCCTGAGGATCTGGCCTTTAAATCCAGGAACATCACATCCTCATCAGTCACCTTGGTAACCACACAGTCCCCTCCCACTAAAGCGTACCTGCTTTATCACCTGGTTTGAACATTAACAGGAGAATAAATGATTAAATGAAGATCACTGTGTCCTGTAAATCTTAAACTGAGACCATGGACTCATAGAAAAGTGTTCATGAGGACTTGGATCACTGCAGCTGAAGGACATTTTCTCACAGACTTCAACACAAGCTGACCTGTTTATGCAGCCACAGGAGACGCCCCCTGCTGGCTGTTAGAAATAATGCAGATTTAAGGGATTTCTACATTATCTTGGTGAGAACATAAAGGTTCAGTGTAGTCAGATCAGACCTGAAATGATCTTTAACAAACAGTAACTGTGTGGTGTGAGCGAGTGGGTGTCATGTATCCTGCCTCCTGCACGCTCTCTACAGACAGCAGCAGCTCCTCCATCAAGTATCTCCAGCTGGGACAAACTCTCTCCTGTTCTGTGCTACATGGAAAAAGCGTCCCGTCCTGATTCTGTGACAGTGTTCAGAGTTCATATGTGTAAACGCCCATAGCTTTTATCCAGGAGATAGATCACAATTTTATAAACTCTAAATTAAATTTCTCACGTATGTGCTAGTGGTGATCCGTCCACCCACTTCCACTCCCACGTCTTTAACCAGTCTTTTGTCTGTGCCTTTCTCTCCAGACCGATCCAGAATTCTCCACGTTTATTCAGCTCTCTGAAAAATTCCTGACAGTTTGTCAGAAACGGGAATGGATTAGTTTTTTGTAGATTCATGTTTCAGGTTTTTTTCATTTTGTTAATTTTTACTAATCCAAAAAATAACCAACATGAAGATCTTACTCATAATTATTGATTTAGAGATTCCATATTTAAACAGATAACACTGAACAGCAACGAGAGACACAAAAACATATCACATGTACCGCCGCACATATTTAAATCATTCACGGACGACTGAGCTCTGACAACAACAGCACGTATATCACACATTTAGTATCTTACGTTAACAGTTATGACACACTTACATGTTTGCTCCTGGTCTTTATCACCAGCAGATCTGCTCCTCTCCTCTCACAGTCTTTCCTGCTCTCTGTCCAGTTTTTCCTCTCAGTAGAAATGTAGTAACAGCTGCACTCAAATCTTTTCCATTCTTTAAGAAATAACACATCATCAACATGAGGTCCAGTTTCAAATCATGTAATAACAGTTTAATAAGAGTCAGTTTGAGATGTTTCTCACCTGTGGTGTTCGCCTGTGTTTGGTTGTCGCTTCCAAACTGGCAGTTCATCCTTTCCAGATCCGACGTCAGCTTCTGATTCTCGGACGTCAGCTTCTGATTCTCGGACGTCAGCTCCACGTCTCATGAAAACCATAAAACGAGACAGTTCAGGATGTAAATACAAATCAGCTGCTGAAGGCTTTGACCTTTTGACCATGTTATTTAAATAAATGTGAGTCCTCACAGAATTTGTAGAAGACTGTAAGCCCCGCTGCCAACAGGAGACACAGTAGACCCAGTATCAGGGCAGGAACTCTGAACTGGTCTCGTCGGGCTGCTGGGAGGTGATACTGAGCGTGCGCTTCTACAACGTGAAGCAGAAGACACAGTTGGATTAAACACATTTAAGTTCCTCCTTCAGTTTATCTGAACAGATGAGATGAAAACATTTGATATTAGTGAAAACACCACGACACCTACTGCAGCAAGCAGCCACCAAACACCGTCTAACATGAGGGGAGATGCTAACAGGTGTTAGCTAGCTGCTTTTGGTTCATTACTACCTGACTGAGGAGAAGAGAAGGCTAACCTCATCTAACCATCTGCTGTTACTCTACCACAACTGTCTCAGAGCAACAATGACGTCACGGCTCCAAGCAAGCTAGCATGTTACAAATCTTCTTTGCTGATCGAATAAATAAACCAACAACATCTATTAAAATTTCCTGAAATTATTTCAGGCATTTTACTGATACTTTTCAGTGTCACTGCCATATCTCTGCTTTCAGGCAGCTTTGCAAACTGGTTGGTTTTAAAAGAAAATGCTAGTGTTTCATATAAAGTATGATCAGCCCACAGTTAATACTGCACTTTTATATCTAGCATGGACGTCTTGATTCTTGTGATTCTTACCTCCGTGTCGTGTTGAACGAGCCTTCTGGTCTGAGTAGACGACCGAAGTCTCGTAGATGTCGACTTCTCTCTCCAGTCTCTCCTCTCTGTCGTTTCTGTTGCCATATTTAAATTTAATGGTCAAATCTGGATCCTCGTAAATGTGGGAAGACATTTCAAGGTGTGCGGCTTCCAGCAGACTCAGTTTTCAGTACAGCAGAGCTGTTAGTTATGATGCTGCTGTCAGTTCTGTGTCGAGCTGAAAAGGTTTGAACAGGATGTCGAGAGGAAGCTCTGGCAGGAAACCATAAACACAGATATTTGATTTTTAATGATTTGGAATTATAAAAGTGTTGTTTTTGTTCATGTTTGCTTCTAAATGTATTAAACAGCTAAAACAAAACAAACTAGAGAAAGAGATGCTGGCGTGCAGTAAAAAGGCCAATGTGTTCGACTCTGTACGTGCTGTTTCTCCACTGACAGATGTGATGATATGAATGTGCCTCACTCGTGAGATAAAAGATAAAAAGGAGTAAAGTTTCATAGACCAATAAGAAACAGTTTGAAGGTCATGTGGCACATATGGAGGAAATGGCTGAATGATGTGGACGATCCAGCCGGACGTACTTACACTGTAACTCTGCATTTCACTAAAATCTAAAGACACGGAGTACTACACAGGAACAATTAAAAATAGGTTGTGATAATTGAGGAAATGATAATAAATGTAATAATTGTGAAAGCAGGATTATTCAGGCAGTCCTTTTAATAATTGGAATGATTGAATATTAATAATATTAATTCACCAATGTCATCAGTTTGGTACCAGGCACGCACATCTAATCTTTTTAGTAACCTCATTATGACAGACCATAGTCATGCTCATCAACAAACATTTGGAAACAACAAAACATTAGGCTCCGCCCTCTGCAGGGCCAGTGTCCAGGTTTTCTTAGTTTTTCGGTTGAGTTTTGATCTGTAGAAAGATTCTGTAGCTGTAACATTTCCCATGTTAGAAAAGCCAGTTACAAAGTAAAAGCATTTTATTATTTGCTTCAAGCTGAGCAAACATTAATGCTGCAAACAACAAAGTTCACTAATCAGCCCTAAATTTTACAGGAAACACAAATCCAAGAAATATTTAACAAGATTATTAAACCAAAGGGAAAAAGCAGACTGTTCACAAACGAGGCGTCTCTGACCTTTGATCAGTAACTTTTAATGTTCGTCTGCTTGCACAGATCACGTTCTGATCATTATGAGGGAAATACACCAAACTACGCTTCATCTTTAATAAGGAGTCTTTAAATAACCTCGGACTGGATTAATTTCTAGTTTGAACTTTCACATGTTTGTAGTGACTTTGACTGAAATGTATCACGTAGCTGATCATAAACCTACTTCCTCCTCTATGAACTCACAAACTGATGTCCTCCCGAGTATTTGAAGCCGTCTTCTCAGACAGCAGGACTCGTTGTTGGTGGAGTTATTGTGTTATTATTTCAGTTAAAGCACTGAAACTGATTCGGCTCACTGCTTCCACTGTTTGTGACTCTACCAGCCTGAGCTCATTTCCCACACAGATATTATAACTAGATCAGTTATGTGGTGTGTTTTGAGGTTTAGGTAACAGAATAGTATCGTATTAAAACGTAATAATGCACAAAATATAGTGAACTTAAACAAATCACTATAAAGGCAGAATTAAGTAATTAAATAATGAAATGATGCAAAGCCTTTTTATCCAGCCTGATAAATACAACACTCCCTGTTTAATCAAAGTCTGCTTTCCAGGTTTGTGTAAACTCCAGCAGCCATTGTAGCTGAGGGGTGAATGTTACTGTACACTGATACATGCACGTATTTGAAAATGATTAGAGCTGCTGTGTGTGGAGTGTCTCACCTTCTTGGATCTTGGATTGGCTCCGGCCACCCTGTGGTTGGTCAGTTGGTTCATGGGTCACCTGATAACCAGTAAATCTCTGGGAAAGTGTCCCACATGACCAGTTAAAGCCACCATCACCACCTCAGACTATCCAAACCTGCACATTTGCCTACATCACATCTGTGTTTTTAGCACATTAGCTTCAACTTTCTTTGTCCTGCTCTCTTTAGGGACCAACTGGTCCTGTTGGAGATACGGGTCTTCCAGGACCTCAGGGACCCCCAGGACGGCAAGGACCCAGTGGACGCTCCCTTATTGGACCCCCGGTGGGTTATACAGTTTTCAACAACCTTTTAGTCTTTTTTGTTACTTTTGTCCTTAATCTTTGATTTAAAGTGTGTCGTTGTGCCTGCAGGGCAGTCCTGGAGAGAGAGGTCAGAAAGGTGATGTGGGACAGCAAGGAACTCAGGTAATAATAGTGATCAGCTTTCATATACTGACAGATCATAGCTCTCATTGCACTCTGAGTAAGATACCAACACTCAGCTTCTCATTTCTTTACATGAAGTGATGCTTAAACACATTACTGTGCTTTCATAATTGAATATAAATTATTTAGAGAGATGATGAAGATCAAATTTAGACTGTGAGGTGGAATTACCTGTTACTTAGGAAAGAAGGAGACTTCCACATCACTTCTAAAATCCTTCACTCTCTGCAAGTGTTTAACCTCCTTTCATCCAGATGTCTGTCACGTTGTGTCGACCTCGAATAAAACGCAGGTACAGGACTTCATATCCTCAGACTAAGGCTACGTTCACACTGAGGGCGAAAGCGCATCAAATCCGACTATTTTGACCCCATGTGACCCACATCCAATCATGGTGTGACAGTGTGAACGGCACAAATCCGACCTGGGTCGAATGTGGTCTGAATCCGATACATATCTGATGTTTTAGAAAGCGACTGCTGTTTGAACGGTCATGTCGCATTAAATCCGTCTTTTACGTCACTGACACAAGACAGACGCCAATTATCAGCGCCGGAGAAGACATCGTGAACGCTTCCTGGCCATCCAGTGTAGATGTTAGTGAAACTGTTGGGAAGACAACGTTGGAGAAACGTGAACATTTTATTTGTACTGTATAATCTGCAGATTCTGACAGAAATCTGCAGCTATCCTTTGAAGCACCGCTCCTCTAAAACAGCAATAAGGATCATTATTAGACCAAACGTAAATAACAAACAAAATTGGGAAAGATAAAGTCTGAAACAAGTCTTTACATTAATCAGTCACACAATACTGTTGGTCTGGGTCTGAACAGAGCGCGTTGTGTGTCTTCTTTTGCACATGCGGCCACGTTGAGGGTTCACACAGGAGCGCGTTTGCTGTCGCATTTTATTTGTAGTGTGAACGAGCAGACAAAAAGATCAGATTTGATCATTAAGACCTGCAGTGTGAATGCAGCCTAAAAGTGTCCCTAAGAGTAAAAGTCGTGTCATGGGAGCACCTGTGAGTGCTCTTCTCTTAGGAGGTATTTAGGAATCGTGCATCCAGAGCTCCATCACAGGCCCACTCACATATAATGAGTTACAGACACTGATCTTGATGCATGTTGAGGTTTAGGGCTGGTGTGAACGTGACCTGCCGTGACCTCTGCTCTCCTCGTGCTGTTTCAGGGGGTTCCTGGAACACCCGGAGGTCCAGGGAGGGAAGGACCTCCAGGACCCAGAGTGAGTCATAACAGACACACTAATAATGCAGCTGTTTGACAAGTTTGTTGATACTACAAATATTAACAGTCAGTAAACCACTGGGATGTTGTCAAATACTAATATGAATAATATAACCTGTAATGTAGATATTTTATCATCTTCACCTCTGATACTGTTCATATGAGTACTACTGTAGTAACACTGTTATATCTGTAAACTGTCTCTGCTCTCAGATGTTGAATTTGAGGCATTGGATTGATTTTAAATATGTTAATTTGGGGCAGGAGCAACAATGAAGTACAAAAGAGGTGCGATGCTTTAGAAAATGACACGTTAATGCACGGCACGACTCCACGGAAGGACGAGTGGAAAAGAAAACAGAAGAAAGATAAAAGTTTCCTAAAAAGTCAGAGGTTGAAAAAGGGAGACAGTCGAGCTGCTGTCAAATGAACAAAAAGACCCTCACAGAGCGAAGCAGCATCTGTGGCCCTGGAGCGCCCCCCTCTGGCCACAGTAGAGTCAGCATCACAGCCAAGGCTGGAAAGAGCGAGACAGCTGCTGGCTCAGAGTCATCGGAGGAACTCTTTAATCCTTTTTTATTATATAACATCTACTTTCACCTTCTCAGGGACTGCCAGGCAAAGATGGCCCCCCAGGCACACAGGGCCCCCCAGGAACCATCGTAAGTCACTGTTGCTGTTTTGAGAATGTTTCGGAGGATTCAGAGGAGGATATATATGCACGCAATGCCTGCAGCTTCTCTGTTAGGCACTTAAATGTAAAGTTTAATTAAAACTGTGACTTTAGGTGATAATGATGGAACTGGGTCAAGCTGGGCAGGGCTAATAAGCTCAGTCATGCGTGTACAACAGGAACAACTTTATAATAATTAAAATAATATAATTAAAAATTGCTTTTCATTTCTTCAGGGAACTCCAGGAGCTCCAGGATCTCCAGGAAGTACAGGCCCTCCAGGAAAGCAGGGAGAGCTGGGCCCACCGGTGAGTCTGTCAATGAGTGGAGCTGCCTGTCCCCATTAACCAAACGGGCCGGGGTGGGCGGGGTTTTTAGCTCTTAGAAGGAACGCCATCATTTGTTTTATGAGCATGAGCTGCTGCATGTGAACAGAGACGCAGGAGGCAGCGGGATGTGTTGTCAGCAGATCCATCACTGGTGCTGACGGCTCCTCTTTCTCTCATCCTGTTTGTACATCAGGACTTGTGTTATGTTGCTGTGATGACTCGGTGGCAGGAGTCACAGTTCACTCAAAGTCATTTTGTTCTCACTTAAACGTGTTTATTTCTGCTGTGAATGTGGAAGCATTTGGAGCCTGCCTCTAGTGTTCAGAAGAGGAACTGCACGTATGCACAGCCTTAATGTTTCAGCCCCACAGTGTCGTTGTTGCAATGTGTTAAAATATTTTGCCAGCAGTGGAAATAAACTAAAAATTCAAAGAATTTCAAGCATTTAAATCAGACTAAAGGAGAAACAGGTGGGACAGCAGCTTCATGCAAAACGCAGCAAAGTGTCTCAGTTTGATCTCCACCTGTTTGCAGAGTCGCTGATCAGTATGTAGGCTTTGCATGTAAACCTTTGTCTGCAGTCCATTTGCTGTGCTGGTTTCTACTTCAGCCACTGTAAACAGAGGTGTGTGAGCGCTCGCTGCTTTCATATTTATTCCTGGTTATGTGAAAACTTCATGGAGAGTAAATCACATGCAAAGTGCAGCAACAAAGAAAACACTGGACTCTGTGGGCAGTGATACAATCTGCTGACAAACGGTTATTCATCACTGTGATAAAATCTTTATAAGCATGTAATTACAGATGCATGGGTGGCCTGCAGAAAGGCCTCATCAGCTCTTCACCTCATGCTGGCAGATTACAGGTCGTAATGAGAACTTAGTAAAATATACAGTAGTTCAAGTTTTGGGTATTAACACTGTTTCCATAAATACTACATTCTGTTGTATTTTTTAACACTTTTATACTTTCTCACCTCGATAAACATCATTCAGTGAAAGTTTTGTATTAGAAAGAAGCACCGAGGTCACAGCAGCTCCATCGAAGTTGGTTTATTCTGTGTTTGTTCCTCTGTTCTTACTGGATGTTTGTCTGTTTCGTTATTATTACAAACACGGCGTTTAGTGACAGCGCTGCACAAATATTCATATTCTCTGTTTCGTGTCGACACATTTGAAGCTTTTAACGATGTTTCATGTAGATTTGCTCCAGACTCTGAGAGGGAACGTTAAAGTCCCAACAAACGTATCACCATCACAGTCCTGTAGGCCAGCGGTCCAACCCCCGGTCCGAGGCCCAGGGGTTGGGCCGCTGCTGTAGGCCTCTCGCTGGTCTCGACAGGTTCCTGAAATCTAATCCCCTCGATTTAGGACGTGTCTGTTTCCCTCTGAGACACGTCAACACTGAAAAGTATAAACATTTGAAATTATGGTTTTAGTTATTATTCATATAGATAAAGATTTCCAATATTTTAAATAAATGACAAAAACAAGCAGGCTGCAGTTTAATCAGGACAGCAAGATGATCAACATGCTGCCCTGACGAGAGAATCACCTGCTTCATCTTGTGTTCGATGCTTCACAAGTTCCTGGTTTTTCATGAATTCGTTTCTCTTGCAGGGACCTGCTGGAACTAAGGGAGAGAAAGGTGAACGGGTAAGCTCTCTGTCTTCATGTTATTACTTCCCCCAGTCACAAACGTCCTGTCTGCTGACCTGCACATTGAGATATATTGTTGTGTTGCAGCAGCAATGTCAAACTCAAGGATACACAAACAACAGACATTCATCAAAGTATTAATATATGTTTTATTAATATGCAGTAAACATTAGTCACTGTTTCCTTCGTTGATTACAATAATGAAATATCAACATCATCCAATAAGTAAATATAATATGTGTGTATTTGAGTTTCATAAAATAAATTTACTTTAAATTTGCTGTAACTAAAAATTTGACACCAGCAGCTGAAAAAGAAACGAAACAAATCTGCAGATTTATGAGTGAATTTCAGTCCTAATAATTTGAGTCTGTAGCGCCTTCATAAAACGCAGAACATGAATCATTTAAAAACACTCGCACATAACTACGTGTGTTTTATATGAACATCGTGTGTTTTTTCAGGGAGATCTCCAGTCGACAGCATCAGTTCAGGCCATTGCCCGACAGGTCTGTGAGCAGCTGATCCAAAGTGAGTTAAAAAACCAAACCTTTATTTGTTAATAATAATAATAATAATAATAATACTAATAATGTTTGAACTGAACTGTTTTCAGGCCACATGGCGCGCTACAACAGCATCCTGAACCACGTGCCGAGTCCTCCGGTGTCAATCCGCACAGTTCCCGGACCACCGGGAGAGCCTGGTCGAGAAGGACCCCCAGGACCACAGGGAGAACAGGGACCCCCAGGCAGACCAGGCTTCCCAGGACAAAATGGACAGAATGGGCAACCAGGAGAAAGAGGCAAGTTTAACAAAACAGTAAAACTCTGTTACTGTTTAAATCAGTGTGAACTGAGGGGCTGCCACACGGCCCAGAATAAAATGAATACAAAATTATTTTGAACTGCAAACGATGCAGAGCTGCACTGGTTCAGTCTAACAGCAAAAAATAAATAAAAAGTCAGAAATGTGCAGGAAAGGTCAAACTTCCTGACTTTCTCCATGTTACAGTGTATCGTATGGAATGACACAAAATATAGAAAGTTTAAGCAGTATTTATTTCTGTTGTGTGTTTATTCTGTTCTGTTCCAGGACAACCAGGAGAGAAGGGTGATAAGGGATCTCCAGGTGTGGGTGTACAAGGACCCAGAGGACCTCCAGGACCACCTGGTAACTTATTTTCCCGCTAAGCCTTTCTGAACCATCCCAGTGATGCAGTGAAGAAAGTCCTGAACAGGATTGTCTGATTAGTAAAAGAAAAAATGTTTCACATGGATCATTAAGATGTTGTAAAATCCACAAATTCAACAGAAAATGTAATTTTTTATCAAATGTCTTAACTGACATGGTAAGATAGATTATTATTTTTATTATTAGTATTAGTACTAGTGTTGTTGTTGTTTTTCTGAACTGAACCAAAAAATGTGAACAAATTGTCTCTAAAATTAAATAGTTGATATAATTTTTTCTATAGTTTTAGTTGTTGAGGTGTTCTTAAGTTAATTCTGAGAGCCATTTAAAAATGTCTTAAACATTTGTTACCTGGAAACGTCTGGAAGTACTTTAACTACTAAAATCATTAAAATAATCACTTTGAAAGCTGCAAAGTATTTTTCTGTCCTCTGACTGACAGAACGCAGGAGAAAACACAAACACAAGTTGTGATAACTTCGGGCTCACAGTCGGGGTTCTTATGACTGATGATGAGTTTGACCTCAGAGTGATTCTGTAATTCTAACATTCAGTTTTGTTTTCTAAACTCTTCATCCTCTTCCTCCCAGGACCCCAGGGACAGGGCAGACCAGGTAGCTCTGGACCCTCAGGACGACCTGGAAATCCCGGAGTACCCGGTCGGCCCGGAGCCCCCGGACCCATCGGCCCCCAGGGGCCTCCGGGTTACTGTGATCAGAACTCCTGTGTGGGCTACAATGTTGGAGGTACGTAGTCTCAGAAATATGAGGAAACTATGATCCACCAGTGTTATCAAGACTCTAATTCTGGTAGTTTTTAATCGTGCTGCTTTCTCTGGAGTTTTTCATCAAAGAAAAATACTGAGCTCTTTGCCCTGGAGCTCTGCAGCTCTGCAGCTCTTTGCTCTGGAGCTCTTTGCTCTGCAGCTCTTTGCTCTGCAGCTCTTTGCCCTGGAGCTCTTATTGTCAACCACATGATTAAAGCAGCAGCCTCCACCGTGACTGTTGTGTAATTACAGCCACAGACTGAAGAGGCTGTAATGAGACAAACCTGCATGTTTGTTCAAATATGTGAACAGAAGAAACTTTTTAACTGAGCATGAAAACATTTCACTGCTGATTGTATTTGGACTGAAGTCATGAAGACAGATGTTCAGTTCTTGTGGTTCATTTTCACACTGAAAAGCTGCCACTGAGTTAAACAGAGTGCATGTCACAGAAGTGGGCATGAAACACTGCGTGTATAAGGTTCATTTACACTCTGGAACCCTGCTTTCAAAAACTGACAGAAATTTAAAACCTCATGAAGCTGAATTTAAGAAAAAGTGACGTCCGGCCACAAGGTGGCGCTAAACATGTTCTAAGAACTTTAGACACTTATTTCTTAATTCCACCTTAACAATCAGTCTGTGCCAGTCTGTGAGAGCAGCCTTCATGGTGTAAATGAGCCTGTATACATTTAGTGCTTCACATAAAGTCGTCCACCCACACTCAGTGTATCTGAAGGTGAAACACGTTCAGATACACTCACAGCTAAGATGCAGGATTCAGTTTCACAAACAGCAGTGTGTGTGTTCAAGTTAAAAACACAGGAATTCACCTTCAGTGTGTGATTTTTACATTTTGTACAATTTGAAATATCATACAGCGCACTGGGCTCAGAAAACAGACTCGATGGAACGACAGAGACAGAGATGATGTCTTTAACCATTTAGCCTCAAAGTGGTCGTGCTACGGACTTTAAAGGCTCATTTCACCCAAAATAATCAACTCTGAGCAGAATTTGTTGAGACAGTTTGTTTCTGAACATTTGAGACAAAACAGCTGAGTTTTTAAAGTTTATTTATTCTGCTGCTTCTTATTTTAAATATCATACACAGACTTTTACAGCGGTAGATTTTTCTGTTGATGCTAAAGATGATCAAAATGAGGTTCAGGTTCTTGAACTGAGACTAGATGTTGAGTAAAGATGCTGATTATTTGACTTCAAAGTGAAACATAAAAGAACAGAATATTTTATTGTGGTTAAAACTCATTTAAACGACAGATCTTTGAACATCAGCTCTGGAAGGAAGTAGAAGGAAAAAGCCTCAATGACATGTTTTATTCCACACGTGGTCATAAACTCTGCATCTTAACATCTCAGTTGGTGCTAAATCACTCTGTGCAGTGAGTGTGGGTTTAATCTGTCGCTGGAAAGATGCTCCATGCAGGGTTTTCTAATGCATGCATTAGTTATTAAATGTCACCATATAAACATTCAACAAATGACTTTACAAAATCCACATGAAAGTTGCAGGTGATGAAGCAGCACTGCAGGCAGATGTTACCTTGCAGCATCAGTCTGTTCTCCCTCCTGCTGCAGGCAAAGACCCAGGAGGCATTTCTATCTGAGCAGCTTCACAGCTCATCCCTCACATGCATCCTGATCACTGTTAGTTTGCACCAATCACAAGTCAGCAAACATGTTTTTGAGAGGCTAAAGAAAACCCTGCTGGAGTCATCTTCAGCATGTTCTGTGCATGTTGGTGCTACATCACTGATGTGTTTGAGGTTAAAGGTCACACAGTGGCCTAAACGGAGTGTGCAGCTTGCAGTCTGCAGGGTGGTCATGTGAGTAATGTCTGCATGTTGTAATCACTCTTCTGTCTCTGTGTTTGTGTCTCCACATCTCTGTCTTCACCTTCTTTTATCCCCCATAATAACCCACAACAGAATATTACTGAGACGTTCACAAATAATCAAACAGGGCTGTGCAATTCATTTGTTTTGTCTCGTGCTATAAATCCAATGCACCCTTTTTCCTTCCCAGTGTCCACTTTCACCCCCTCTCTAAAACCTTAAATCCCTGACAGTCAGTGGCAGGTTCAATGTAGCACCGTCAGAATTATTGCTATGATCCAAACAACCCCACATGTTAGACCACATGTGACTTCAACCATGATGTGGCTTCAGTTAAGTTTGCATACACTCATGATGGGCGGGAATGTGGTAGTAATTTGGAGCTTTTTAGGATTTCTTTGAACTCTTCTTTTTCCAGGCTGGAATGATTGTAAAGCTTAAATCTTTAATGACTTATGGATCTGGATTAAAAGTATGCAAACACCCAAACTAATATATGGTTAAATATACCTTCAGGCAAGCTGCACCTCAACCAGATGCTTTTGTTAGCCATCAACAAGCTTCTGGCATATTTCTGACCTGGTGATGGACCAGTCATCCAGGAAGAATTGGGAGAGATCGTTTAAATTTGCTGGTTTCCTGGCAGACATTCCTGATCTGTCAGAGGACTCACAGGACGTTGACCATAATCATAACACTTTGTAGAGATATATTGCTCCCAGTATTACACAGACATGAATTACTTAGAGACAACATGCAATTATATATCATCATCTGAGCTTCATCAGCAGATGTAATCTTAACCACATCAAAGACCATTATTATTATTATTATTATTATTACTTCCTGTAATTGTAGATCCCTAAAAGTCAAACGTAGATTTGGTGCACATGAATCTAGAGTGGCTCACTGAGGTGCCGTATACAAACAGCACTACTTTATGTGACGCATTTGTTGCTTGTTTTAATTTTTTGTTGTATTTTTTAGGAGCAAGAAAAATATGGAATTATCAGTAGTTTGATAAAGAAATACTGTGAACATTGACACGGTCGTCCTCTCCTTACCTTTTCTTCTAGATTATGATCGTCCAATCCCTCTTTTTTAATTCCCAGACTCCACTGACTTAATACAAACTCCTGTAACTCGTCCTAAACACTCATCTGCACGACGACTTTGAATATTTTTGCACGTTAAGTATCCAGATGCTTATCATTTGAAAGACAATATCTGAAATCTGTTACTTAAAATATGACAGTTTGAATGATGTCATACTTGGCTGGTAATACTTAGACATTTGTACAAAATGTCTCACAAAACGTAAACATCAAAGCTCAATCTGACTTATTTAAAGCTTTTTATCCTAACGACCCTCAGTATTGTCAACACTGACTTTCTAACCCAGACTCACACATCCTGACTGGGTAACCCAAACTTAAAGCTCCTCACCTTATTAACTGACTCATAAACCTGACCTGGTAACCTTTGGTAACCCTTGTCTCTGTGTCTCTTGCTTCTTACCCACCCCTTTGTTCTTGCTAACCCAATCAAAACCCTACAAATTGCTCCCAAACACTGCTTCCTGTGGTGGCGGGGTCGGCCATCTTTGTTTTGGGCTTTTCACTGCCTATCCGCCGGGCTGCTGGTTGGCTCATTGCCTGGTTGGTCGGCATCACAGAAGGCGAGGATGTCACTGACGGCGGCGCTGTCCCCGCAGTCCAACTACCACCCAGCGTCTTCCAGAACTACGGCGAGGTCGAGGAAGACGATCCGTACCGCTACTACCAGCCCAACTACCCGGCCCCTCGACCAGTGGCGCCTGATGATCCCGCACTGGCCCTTGGTGACATTGAGCTGAGGTCTCCTGGCGTCTACCGCACCTCTCGGAGTGTGAAGGAGGAGGAAGAGAAAGTCGGGACGAAGAGGCGACTAAAGAGAGGCGCTGCGCGGACTAACTGAGAGGAGTTGATTCTGATTGGGCGGCTCGGAGCTGCTATGGACTAATCAACAAGTGCCTGATGTAAAGGATTTCTTATGGACATTGTAGAGGGACGGGAAGGGATACCAGTCGGGACTATTGTAACATCTATGCTACATTAAGAAAACTTTCAAAACAATTTACATTTTGTTTTTCATTTGTCAACAATATTGTTTGGAAATCGTCGGATCTTAAAGAGGGTTCATGTTTCACAGGTGAACTGTTCTCACAGACTGTATAACAAAGGTTCATGTAGCCACCAATGACGTTCCCCGCTGGTTTCTAACGTTTCGTTTTGAATCCTGTTTGGTTTCCTGATACTGTTTAAAGAAGCAAGGGATCAATGTGAGAAACCAGTGGAAACGGTCAAGGGGTCGTGACCTCTCAGTTCATAGACACATTAAAGTACAGTAACGTGTCAAAACTGGGCAAAAACACAGCCGTCCATTATTTTTAACTGCTTCAATAAGGATGATGGGGAGGAACAGAGTCTCTCCTAGTTAACACACAGTGACTGGTTTATCACAGGGCTGTCGGGCTGTTTGCTTCAACCAGTGGAATATTTAATTCTATCCACAAGAAGGGAAACCAGTACAACAAGAGACATAACCACTTATAGATACACATGGAAAATGAACACTAGGAACACTGGTGCCCTTCTCATTGTTCAGTCATTAACAGTTGTGCTTTAACATGAACTGACCAAGATGTAAACGAGCTAAATGGGCCTCAGAATGTAAATGTCTTTGAAGCAGAGTTTGAATCTCTGCAGTCATCAGGACACAGCTGCTGGATCCCAGGTTAACTTCAATCTACGACTCTATACTCCATCGACTTTAATGTCTGCATTAAATTCTGTCATTACAAAGTAAACAGCTTGAAGCAGATTGTTGAACAAAGTAAATAAAACCCTGACAAATATCTAAATGTACCACTGCTTACCTTCAGTCCCTCTGATGATAAATGGTCCCTCAGCTAAATCAAACGCTGCTCGCTCAGTCCTCACAACAGCAGCTGAACTGCTCTGAACTCTGCATCTACACACAGATGATCTAAACTAATGGAGCCTTAAACCACGCCCCACTTTATCATTTTTATTCTTTATTGGACAGTTGATTAAATAAAGTGGGTTTTAAAGAAGACTGAAAACGACTGATTTTGACCCTGAAAGTTTCAACTTTAACTGGTTACTGAGGTCACAGATCTTATGTCAGTTTCCCCACAGACTTCTGTCAAACGCTGCCACCTTCTGGCTCATCAGAGAGAATTTAGGGTTCAAGGCTAATCAGAAGCTACATCCTTCTTTTATATACAGTCTGTAACTGTCCCTGTGGTCGTTAATCAGAGACTCGTCTGTCATTTATATTTTTAACCTGGTTGGTTAAGTGCCTCCAAACGGTCCAGCAACAACTTATTTCAAACTGTCTCCTTCATTATTTTTTCTTTAAAGCCTGTTAGTCTTACAAGATTTTATTTTACTCTGTTGCTTCTCTGACAGAGAAAATAAAATGAAAATATCCAAAAGGTTTTGATTTAAATTGCAAAGTATTTGATGACAATGATGTAATCTGTTAGTGTGTTGGTCCTGTCCTGCATCAGTCTGATTATTACCTCCAGTGTCTTTCTTTTAAAGCCTTTTTATGTAAAGTTTTGCATGTTTTTGTTTATTTCAGTTACCATGCAGTGTATCATTTTCTAATCATAGAGCCATGCAAACATTTTATTGTTACATATTCATATTATTTTGTAGTGCAGGTGTTGTCGCAGTATTAAGCTCAAACTGGTCTCTGTGTTTGGGGAGGCTGATGAAAATATAAGTTGTAAAAACTGAGATTGTTTCTGTGTAAATGTATTTTGGTTCAGTTTGTCAACCCACAGTTTTACTCAGAGAAGCAAATTTAACAAAGTTTAGTTGGAAAAAATGTTATTTTTCACAACGCTCTGTTTCTTACTTGGTGTTTTTATTTAGTTATCACTTCATTTCTTGTCTTTATATTCAGACTTTAATCCTTTAGTCTCATTGTCTGAAAAAAATCCCAGTTACGTGGAGGACTGTGCTTTGATTCAACCTTGTTTGATGTGAATTTGGCCAGAATTTGAACTTTGAACTTTCCTTCTGAGTTTAGTGTTTTGAAGCCTTCAGGTCTGTGAGGAGAGCAGTTCCCTCTACACCTCCGACCAGAATGTTTAAAAAATAAAATCGAGGAATTAATTTATTTTTCACTGGTGTTGATTTCTGAGAACAATAAAACTGAAGTACAACCATCAGTGCTGCCTGTGTGTGTGTTTATTGTAAATGTGTTGCTGGACTGAAGTCTGATTCAACTTGAAGTGAGCAGGAAGCCTGTTGGAGCTGCAACAGCAGGAGGCTGACTGGAAACTTTCAGGTGAGTCGAAGTTTAAAATTACACACATTATATTTGTTACACAGCAGACGATATTTAATATATTTAAGGGACAATTTACATTAAATGAAAGAAAAACTTGTGGTGACCAGGAACATATGCAGACGTGATCTGACAAATGTTCATTAAGGACCCATAAATGTCCATAACACCAATTCTGGGACCAATGATCAGCCTGTCCACCCGTCCCCACCTCTGACTGCTCCAACAACAAAGCACCAGTCAGTTTGTAGCGCCTCCTACTGGCAGAGGGCCCACAGTCCTGTTAACACAAAGCTCAAGGTGGGATCCTGACGTCACGTTCATTATTGAGGTGAGTCTTGTTTTCCTCTTCATGGAGGTCACACTTGTTCACACTCATCCTTCGTTTATATGTTTATGTTAAATCTACACTGACCTGTACCCCGTGCTGTGACCTACATGGCAGCCTGTGACCAGAGATGTAGCAACACGTTACACAACGATGTTAAAATGCACAAAACATCTTCAGTTTAGAGCTGACACGTTTGGGACGTTGCAGACAATTACAGATTTTGTTCATGTGCATTTTGTCTAAAGAGTGAAACATTTCAAATCTGACACGACATCAAAATATTTATGCAAACAAATCAATCTTGTTGCTGAACTTTGAATTAATCTTTGACAGAGGTCACTGGTGGTGATTAGACTCTTATCTTCCAATATTCATTATATTGGGAAATATAATGAATATTGGAATATTGTAAAAATAATGAAAACTAAAATTTAATGGGTAAAAAATTATGAAAATATTTGAAGTTGAAAAACCTGAAAAACACCCAGAACTGTAGTTTTAGGACCAACAGACTGATGAATAAACCAAGTAAAGCAAAGTAAAGACAAGCTGCACTTTGACTTTTATTAGAACAATTTGCTGGAACTACAGAGTAATGAAGTACTTCAAGGTTTTGTGTGGATGACTTCCAACCTTACTGTACAGCACAGAGCACAGAGGGACAATATATGTAATCAATATATGATGCAGAATGAACAAGTAAAGACTGTAAGCTGAGTCTGAGGCTCATGCAGGACATTTCATAGTGAGGTGTCTTTGGTTGGATTATTCAAACATTTACATCAAAGCACCAAACTCATCTCTCACAGATGAAGGTCTTTGATTCAGAATAATATGACCGTGTCCATCTCCCATCACTGTCACAGCAGACTCCATAGTAACCATAACTGGGATTCTCATGTCCTTCTGCCCAGAACCTGTCAGAGAGATCAAATCTGATATGAAACTGGACTAAACTCATAACTATTGTCACATTCATATAAATATGCGTCTCTTTTGGAATATTTCCAATATTTGCTGTATTTCTTTCCCAGGTTTCTCGCCCACTTTCCCTCCTTTAGACTTTTCTCTGAGAATCATCATGCACACTAAAACAGCTTTCAAGCTTTGATGAATATGAAATCTTCCTGCTGTAAAAATGGAGAATAAAAAGAAGTCAGAGCTGACTTTCTGCTGTTTGAAACTGTTTTGTCAGCTGTTTACAGACATCACTTTGAAATGTGTGTCTATCAGGTCATATTTACTGAAGCTTCTTCCTTCATATGTTCTGAAGTTTTACAAACACCAAAGAAGAAGAGACAGCAATTCTCTGAAACACTTTTTGTTCTGTGAGAAAAGAAACATTACAGCACAAAAAACATGAAGACAAATTGAACAAAGTGAAATGTGTCGGTCGCTGCTTTGAACATGTTTCAATCCTGATTCCTTCAAACTGACTTGTTGTAACTGAACGTCATCACAGACTGCAGATGAAGAGAGTTCAAGCACAGCTGTTCATTCAAAGGAGGATTTCTGCTTTTCTTTACATTCAGTTTGTGGGGCTGTTGGAAAATAGCTCAGCTCATGTATTGCTGATCTATCTTCCAAAACATCCATGTTTCACTTCTAAATAATAACTCTGGAATAGAAACAAACTAATGTCTCACCTTTCTGTCAGCGCTGATCCGTCCACCCATTCCCATTTAGATCTTCCTGATGTCTGTTTGGATCCCAGACCAATCCAGGACTCCTCCAAATTTACTGACAAATTCCTGTTTGAGAAGAGACACAAATATTGTCTCCAGTCATAATTCAGCACTTCTGTTGTAGTGACATCATCTTGTGAACATGTCTGAAGGAAGAATAACTGTGATGAAACTTTTCTTCCATTGTGCAGAAATCAGAAAGAGCCAAAGAATCAATGAATATCAGCTCCTCCTGTAGCTCAGTCAGTGTTGCAGTGGAATCAGTGTTAACAAATCATTTGATTCAGTTGGATTGAATCAGAAAAATAATCTGGATTATGAGGATTTCTCTCATTTTATAACATTTCTGTTATTTCAATGTTTTGTGTTGACTTGGTTTCTAAGGATCATCTGAACTGGTTCCCATTTAATCCTGGTTCTTTAACTGCTTTGAATTTCTCTCCTTCATAATTCAATGTGAATCTCCAGTTTGCTGTATTGTAATCGATGCACCTCCCAAATCCTGCAATCATTTCCTGAATGGATTCTCTAATCTTCTCTCATCTGTTATTGTTCATAAAGTCATTTTAGTAGATGACTCTAATTTACTTATTGATGATCCCTCTAACAACACTGCCACACAATTGATGAACACTGCAGCATCATTTCATGTAGTGCATCATGTTGTCGGCCCCACACATAACGCTGACCTTCCACATGTCTGACCTACTATCCAATCACAGATGTATCATCTTTGACAGGCTTACAGTCAGTGTTGTCTTCCCAGAGACAAACTGCTGTCACTCCCATGTCTTCTAATGACTGTGGACATTTTTGGATTTCTTCACTGGCAACATCAACAGTATCAGGTCAGAGTTCAAGTCTGTACCTCTTCAACCGCCCCAAGTCTCTCCTCCAGTTCTGTTGTTGGAGTTCAAACTCCTTCCTGCTGCCATCTCCCCCTGACTTCTCTCTATTAGAAACCAGTCCCTTTCATTTCAGCTGACTTTCAAACAGCCAGAGTCTTTCTGAGTGGGATCAACCCTCCTTACATCCCACTGTTTTAAATCAAGTTGCTCGTCAGCTCCTTCACATCTTTGATCAATTCCAACCTGGTTCCAGACAAACCACAGCACTGAAACAGCTTTCATGAAAGTTACTAACCAGATTCTTCTGCGCTGGGATAAAGACTCCATTTGAGTCCTGCTTGACTTCTCTGCAGCCTTCATACTGTTGATGGTGCTCCTCTTATTAACACACTACAAACTGGCATCACTGGTGCTGCTCTCACATGGTTTTCTTCATACTTATCAAACAGATACTTCATATTAATCAATGTGTGTCCTCATCTGAGTCCCACATGCCTCAGTCCTTGGACCAATTCTGTTCTCTTTATAAATGCTGCCCCTGTGACATCTGCTTAATGGTTTTAATGGGATCTCCTAGCACTGCTGTGCAGATGACACACACACTAATGCTTTTCTGTCGAGCCTCTCCTGCCTCAGTGAATGCTTCTCTGTCATCACTTCATGGATTTAAACTTCCTTCATCTCAAACTGAAGTTGTGCTGTTTGGCTCAGTTCCTCTGAGGAGGTCAGTCAGTACATCGTCCCCCTCACCAGTAACATCCAATCACCTGTTAAAGATCATTTTGAGCCTCACATGTCAAAGGTCAGCCAGTCTTGTTTCCTTTGCCTCAGAAATATTGCAAAGATCAAATCTTTACTGTGATTCAATCATCTGGAACTTTGAGTTCATACTTTCTCCTGCCTGATTCTTGTAATTCACTTTTCACCTGCATTCCTCAGTCCTCCATAGTTGGTCTGCAGTTAGTGCAGAACTCAGCAGCAAGGCTGCAAACAAAGCCTGGCCTGCAGTCTCATATCTCACCTATTCTTGCTTCTCTTCACTGGCTTACAGTGAACTTCAGAATCCTCTTTTAAATCCTGTTATGAACATATAAAGCTGTGCATGAACAGGCCCCTGCTTATATAGCAGAGCTTCTTGGACCTTATCACTGCAGCCGGCCTCTCTGATCATCTAATCAGCGTCTCCCAACTGTCCCTCGCTCTGATTTGAAAACCAGAGGCCATCGTGCTTTTGAGCTTGTTGCAGCCAAACTGTGGAACAGCCTTCCTCAGACTATCAGGTCAGCTGACTGTTAACGGCTGAAACTCATTTTTACAGGTTAGCTCTCCCTCAATCTTTTCCCCTTTATTTTCCTCCATAGTTTCTAACTGTTGTGTTTCTGATGGAATGAATGTGCTGCTTTGTTTATGTGTCTGTATGTTTGCACATGTATACTTATCATCAATGTGTGGCTTTAATTCACAGTATGAAGAACTTTGTAACTCACTGTCAGCTCCATCAAAGATCACACAGACATGAACAAACACACCCACCTGTTCCTCTTTGCTGTTTATCATCACCAGATCAGCTCCTTTATCCTGACAGGCTCTCCTGCTGTCAGACCAAGTTTTCCTCTCAGTGTATTTAAAGTAAAACTTGCTTCCAAACCTCGTCCATTCTTCTGGACACCACTTCTCTTAAAGTCAAACACATGTTTTAAAGACAGACTTTGTGTCCTGTTGTATCACATGAATCTTTGGTTCCTGTCATTTTCCCTGTAAATGCTTCATTTAAACTCAGGTTTTCTCTCTTATTCATAATGAACTGAT